CAAGAAGCTCATGTTAATAACGAAAACAATTACAATGGCACAAACCAAATATTAGCTATGTTTAACCCTTTGCATTCCGCTGTCCCCTCTCATGGGACATTAAAGTTGATCAGTGATTATGGGTAATTGAGTTATTTCAGCGCAACTTTTTGAGACATGCATGTTTCCCTGAAGTTTTTTCTTGAAATGGCACAAGAAATCAAATCAAAATATAGTAAAATTGCTAAGATATATACGAAGAAATGTCAACAAGTTTTGTGTCATACAAGAAAGCGATAAGCGTGCTCACGACGGTCCGAGCACTTCAAAGGCGCCACTTGAAAAGAGCAATAAGGCATGTTTGTAGAATAAAGATCGGTATGCAAACATAGCACGCACTGTATAGTGAGATTTATAATCATAAATAATCAAGTCTAAATCTGGAGGAAAACATTTTTAAAGCTGAACTCAGTCTGGTTTGAAGCGTCGCCCGGTATAGATAGATCTAACGAGTGAGAAAATCGGAAAAGTGATTCTTCTCTTGGTAAATAAATTGTTTAGTAAAAGTTTTTTTGGTAAATATCATCTTGTGAGTTAGTAATAACAATTAGAAATTTTTAACCCATGTATTTATTCATATTTTTTATTAGAACAATGGCAAAACGTTCAAACACGAATGAATCTCATGACACAAGTAGTAGAGCTCCAGATAGACATTTACACAAATATGTTAGAAAGACTAACTGTAGAAGAAAACGATAGCAGTGATAGTGATATCGTCCAAGCAACAAGGCGACAAAGAGACTGCATAGATAGCGATAGTGATGAAAGTGGTACGGAAGAAAACACACCGCAACATGACGGTTTTTTTGGAAGTTGGTAATGTGTGTCATTAACTCATACATTATTTATCATATCTCAAAACAAACAAATAATGTAACGCCAATGACGCACCACAAGTTTATCAAGGCACTCATTGACCAGTTGAGGGGTGATTTTCGTGAATCGAGAATGCGTCCATCCTCATCTTCTGCGGACAATAGATTAGAGAATAAACTACAAATTCCTGATGTGGGACAAAGAAAACGGGATTGCATTGTTTGTTCTGACAGGAAAACACCTGGTGGCAGGCGTCAAACAACATATTATTGTCAAACGTGCACTAATCAGCCTTCAATGCATTTTGGGGAGTGTTTTAAAGTTTATCACATTGTACAAAATTATAACAAATAAAATATTGATTTTTCACAAATATACATGTAAAGAAAGTATACTTTCTTAAGGTAGATTTGCCGCGCTTCTCATGTCCCACCCTTCCATTGTCTTTTGTTATCTACAAATCTACAAATAATCTACAAAAACGTTAGATTTGGAAGAGAAACGGGCATTAGGAAATAGAACTTAGACGAGAGAAGTAGCATGAGAAACTGCAAAGAAATTTTATAAAAGATAATATACCAAAAAAATTTAAGTATTGTGAATAATAAACGTGAATTGTCGTTTCTTTGTTCACAGGTAAGACTGTAAATAGCAATTAATTATTAATTAACAAATAAAGATTTATTTCTTTGTTTACAAAGAAACATATTTTCGTTTATCACCTCACCTAATAGATCCGAGATATTATATACATTTCTCGATTTCAACCAATTCATTTAAGTCCAATATCATTATAATATGTTAGTTAGTTCCAAAACCATATTAAATAATCTGTAATTGCATTGAGGATCTGTAAATGCACGTTTCTACCACAAAGTAGCGCTGAGTAGCTGATAGCCAACATCCAGAATGGTTCAAAGGATCAAAGGATTAAAGATAGTTTAAAGGAAATAAAAGAGCAACTTATTGAATTGAAGTTGAATAACAAAATTATTCAAAACATAATGAGAATCGACTACATGTCACAATAGTAGGTAGAATAAGGGTAAATACTAAAATAGATAACATACTGAAAATGTCCACTATAAATGTGAACTCACTTTGCTCGTTAAAAAAAAGATTAGATTTACAAAAATACTTAGATGAGTATAGATATGATATTATAACGATATCAGAAAGTAAACTAAATAATAAATATAAACAAAATTTTACAATTATGACATAATCAGATCGGATAGAGCAATAAATTCCAATGAAGATGGTACAGCAATAGTAATAAACAATAATATCAAATATGTAAACATCATGCAGCCAAAGAAATACAAGATAATAGAATACTCAGCTGTGAGAATAATGATAAATGCAAATAAATCAGTCATATTCAGCATATATGCAACACAATCATCAAAAAACACATTTATAACAGAACTAGATCAATTATTTAAAGACTTCAAATTAGATGACAACGACCTATACTTCATCATTGCGGGAGACTTAAATGCAAGAAACACATATTGGGAGATAAGACTACATAAACGATAGAGGTAGACGCCTACATCAATGGGAACAAAATAACGGTATTCAATTCAAAACAACGATCTTTTCGACAGCCAATCCCACATACATTAGAAGCAGCTCCTATTTTGACTACGGCATCGCTGACAGCAGAATAGAGATTCTGGATTTATATATATAATAACAAAATAAAACACACAACGCATTAACCTTTAACACGTTGGTTGCCGCGCGAATTTTACGTGACTTGCGCAAGAAGCCAACATAAATTTTTTATTATGCGATGCATATTATGTTCAAATATTATTTACAGCAGATAAGGTGAGCTGTATAAACGTGTCTTATGCAATTTTCGTGGTAGGGGTCACCGGTAGCCCCCAAGGCGCTGTAGACCATTTTGGCCGTATGAGAAGCCTGGTAAAAATGGTAGTAGATTATAATTTAGGGAAATCTTCAGTTGATCTGTCTGATCAAATAACTGCTTATAGTTCACCATTGCAAAAAACTATAAAGTGGCACAGAAAATTGGTAATAGAGCTTTTGCTGAATACTTGTGTTGTAAATTCAATGGTGTTATACAAACAAGCAACTTGAAAAAATATTTCAGTCGTCGATTTTAGAAAGAAGTTAGCGATGTATTGAGTGAAATGTTTTGATGATGAAGATTCCATTTTATCAAGAAATTGCGTACAGAAAAAACGTTGTCATGAACTTAAAAGAGAACCGGAAAGTATGGGAAATGTAAGGCGATTTTGCAAAAAGTGCTACGAAAAAAATTCAAAACAGCTAATAAAAATGAGAGCAAAGAATTGCACTAAAAAAGTGGCGACTGTCCTAGTTCATCTTTTCTTTGCCTACCGTGTCTCAATGTGACTCATCGTTATGTGCACAGATAATATGTATATTTTCTTGTATAAATAAAATTATAATTACATGTTCTGTACGGAATTCATTTCTTTAAACCACTACAGAATCAATGGTATTATTTAAAAAATTTATTGGATCGATGTTTACCCTAACACTATTCCTACCAGGACCGGTCAAATGACCGTTTTTAAATTTTCGATTGGAATTTCCTACATTCAACGTAAGTGAATCGCCTTTAAACTTTACGACTTTTCCTCATATATATGTATGATACATTTTTCAATATTCACTTATTTTTTTATTGTTTATTTTCTGAGAAAAATTTGTAGTCTGTCTTATCTACCACGACCGGTCATTTGACCGGTAGTACGATTTATACATTTTTGTAATAGTTACTCTCTAAGATTCAATGCCAAAACTATAAAGTCGTTACAAACGAAAGGTAATGTAGTTGTGGCACGATTTTATCCGAGAAGTGCCTTCCAGAAAATGGTTTACAGCACTTCCAAGTGTTTACAGTTCTGGCTCGACTATCGGGTTAGCGGTGTTTATTTGCTTGATTGATATCCGATACGATCCAGATCCTCGAATGTTCTTACGCCATTTTATCTACTATGACGTAAAATAAATAAACTTATAACTGAAGGAAATGTATAGACGTCTTCTCACGAATTCAAATCAGTATAGTCTTGCGACACGAACAGAGTGCATCGAAACGTGAAAGTCATAAAGAGCACACTTGGCAGTCTTTTATTATTATTTTGTAATATTTTATATCGTATTTAAAATAGTGAACAAGACTAACAATACGTCGCAGTAAATTTCACATTTTATCTTTTATTCATTTTTTTATCTATTTTGATTTACAATTTCATATTTTAGTTTTTATTTTCTCCGTTGAATATTTACCCCAAAATGTCAAGACGTTTGAGGAGTGCGAATGTATTATTAGAGAGAATAAATGATATCAATGCAGAATGTTCTGAAGATGATCAGGAAATTCTGGATATGGAAAATAACAATACGGAAAATTATGATCCACTTGAAACCGATTCGAACACCAATGAGAACGAAGAGAATATTTCGAACGTACGTAGACGACGAAAAAGAAGATTTTTAGTTAGTTCCGATAGTGAGAATGAGGAAGAGGCAAGTAAAATTCCGATGGACGGAACTGTTTGGCAGGAAGTAAAAATAGGGTCTAATCCTGGAAGAACACCTGGTCATAATATTTTTAGAGAAACATCAGGCCCGACTGGGTACAGTAAACAGTAATATTATGAAAGACGAAGTTAGGACGGCATTTTCTGTAATAATTGATAAGAATATAATTGAACTTATATTGAACTTATAAGAAAGTACACAGAGGCAGAGGCATTTAGAGTGTTGGAATATAAATGGAAACTGTCTACTGCAAAGTTATATGCATTTTTTGCAATTCTATATGCACGCGGCACATATGAGGCTAAGAATATAGATACAGCACTTCTATGGAATAAAAAGTGGGGCTCGCCTTTTTTCTCAAATACTATGAGTAGACATGACTTTACGGAATGAGATTTATTCGATTTGACGACAAAAATCAACGAAGCCAACGGTTACAAACCGATAAATTCGCTATGATTTCCGAAGTTTGGTACAACTTTATTGACAAAAGTCAAAATTGTTATAAACCAGGATATATTACTATTGACTAACAATATATTACTATTGACGAACAATTGTTTCCAACGAAAGCAAGGTGTAGATTCACTCAATACATGCCCAATAAACCGGACAAATTTGGTATAAAATTTTGGTTAGCATCCGATGTACGTAACAAAAATATAATAAACGGCTTTCCATATTTGGGAAAAGATGAAAGTAGAAAACCCTCAGTTCCTCTTGGAAAATTTATCACTATGAAATTAGCAGAACCGTATGTAGGATGTGGAAAAAATATAAACACGGACAACTTCTTTACAAGCCTACCTTTAGCAATAAAACTTTTAGCAAAAAAAACTACGATTATTGGGACAATTAGAGCAAATAGAAAAGAGCTACTAAGACTGGCAAAACTGAAAAACGACGACATGGCACTTTTCTCAACCAAACTATATCGCTCAATTAATTATATGTTGACAATTTACAAAGCCAAACCAAGAAAGAAAGTTCTAATTCTCAGTTCAATGCACAACCCCATACAAGTTGAAGAAAATGACACCCGAACACCGGAGACAATTCAATTGTATAATAGCACCAAATTTGGCGTAGATGTGACCGACCAAATGGCCAGAAATTATTCAGTAAAATCTAAATCTTGGAGATGGCCTTTGCAAGTATTTTTTAATATCTTGGATTTAGACGGGATAAATGCATGGGTGTTTTATAAAGAAACTATGGGAGGAGAAATTTACAAGACAGGAATTTCTATTCCAATTGGCAGAAGAACTTGCCATCGAATAGCAACAAGAGCTCGGCAAAGAAAATCAAACAATACCCATCGCAAGTACAAGTACAGGTTCCCGTGAACGGAAAACATGTCAGATAAGGTATTGTAAAGATAATATGACGAACAAAATCTGTCTAAAATGTAAAAAGTACATATGCGGAAAATGTACAGTTGAGAAGCCCATTTGTAAAAAATGCGACGAAAAAGAAAAAAACGTAGACTATGTACTCTTCTATAAAAGAAAATAATTTTTTTATACTGGTAAGCTGGCTATTGGTTTGTATTCAATATTGAAAAATATAAGTTGTGAAAGACCAGTCATTTGACCGGCCGCGGTAGGAATAGGTATACGTGAAGTGTCGGTAGGAATAGTGCTAATTTTCACTATTCGTCGCGTCGCTGGTTACCAGTGGCCTCCACGGCGCTGCAGTCAAGTCGAGTGCCAGTCTTTGGTGACTGGCCCACGGCAGTCAACGTGATAAAATAGATACAGACACGCTTTTCCAAGGCGTACCACTGGAACCACTTAGATCAACCACCTACAGTTTCGAAAGAGTGAATTGGGGTAAGTTTGCTAAACACATTGACTCGAAATTACAGAATAATAACCAACTGCTCACAAATAGAAATCTCTCAATAGAAGAAATACATGAAAGCATTATGAATCTCGAACAAGTAATTACCAAATCCATTAGGCAAATCATACCTAAAAATCAAGCAAATAAAAATGACTATTGCCAGGAATACATTAGCAACAATATCAAGAAGTTACATTCAACAAAGTCCTTTCTAATAACGAGATTACACTTCATTAGATACCGAAGCCCACATAACCATAGCAAACAGGAAACATACCGTATTAAAAGAACAATTAAAGCAATTAATAAACGACTACAAATAGAAATATCAAAATCTGTTACATCATATTGGTCATCAATAGCCAAAAAAATAAACTACAAAGAAGCAAACGAAATTTTTCCGACCAACAACAAATATTTAAGACCACAAAAACACATCTGTATTGAAAATTTCCGACTTGATTTAAACAAAAACTAATTCAATCAAGAGATTGGTAGAAAAATGCCGCAATTAGATTATGAAAATGAAATACATATCACTGATCCAATGATAAAATTAGAGGTCATGGGCACTAGAGAAAATCAATTCGCCAAGATACACTAATGAAAATATCATCACTAAAAATAAAGCAGATGATACCGCACACAAGTACCATGATATTTTACGAAGAATGAGGAATACCAAATCTACCTTCATGATTTTTTCTGATCAATTTCCAGCACATGATCCGCTACAAAACAAGAATGAAATAAAATATTTCATCTCGTTCACCGAAGTCGGAACGGATCAGGAATTTAAAAAATAAAATTTCTTATGGTCTTGACAAAATTCCATCAAATCATCAAAAATTTACCACTATCAATAATTACCGAGTACACAATAATTTTCAACAACGCCATAAATAATGCATATTATCCAAATAAGATAAAATGGAAGGAATGGATGGAAACAAGTAAAAGTTCTACTGATTTCAAAAAAAGGGAAAATCCAGAAGAACCACAAAGTTACAGACCTATTAGTCTTACTATGAACATAAGTAAAATATTCGAAAAAATTAACAAGAAAACATGGATCACATTAATACTCATAAAATCATTCCGAATAATCAATTTGGATTTAAATCTAATTTATCCACTACTCTATATTGAGGACTACGCTATATACAAACTAACTTCCGATCTGAATAACTACTTCCATAATGAATACGCCATTGGTGCTGTATTGTTGGACTTATAAAAAGCGTTCGATTCTATATGGAAAAACGGACTTATACATAAGCTAGACGATTATAAATTTCCTGTTGGTTTAATTCTACTGATTCTACTGATTGAAGGGAAGACACTTCGCACGTTGGACAGCATCAATTTCTCATCAAAGTCCTTCAAAATAATAGAGGGGTTACAGCAAGGAACCGTTACATCACCAATCCTATTCAACAGTGAACCAATCAACAAGTTTGCCATGAACAACTCTAATAAATTACACTTAATCGCTTATGCAGACGATTTAATAATTTATAAAGCAGTCAAGGACATAAATAAAATCAGATATACATTACAGGCAGTCATCAACGACATTAATAGTTATTACAAAAACTGGAATTTAAAAATCAACCCAAGTAAAGGCGAATTAATTTTTTTCAGAAGACCAGTTAAACAAATCTAATACTCTGCAGTTAAAAAAATAGATAGTTTAAAATTAACAACTATTGATACCCACAACGAATTAACTGAGATACCGAAGAAACGCATCGTAAAATATTTGGGAGTTCATCTAGATCATCTGTTAAGTCTGAATAAACACTACTCGATTCAATTAGATAAAACTTTCAAGCTGAATTCAAAAATTCTTTACAATAAAAATCTTGCTACTAAAGCCAAAATGGACTACTGGTGAGATCTATTTTAACTTATGCAGCTCCTATATTATGGAATATATATCCTCCTATATATGGAATATATAGGTGCAACTATAATTGAAAAAATAAGAAGATTTGAAAGATCTTGCATGAGATCATGCCTAAGAACGCACAGAACCGCTGAATCAGATTATAAAAGGAGAATAAAAAACGAGACCATTTACAACAATGCCAACATCAATAGAATTGACTGTTTTTCTCTCAAAACAACCAGAAAATACTGTAGCAACATTAATCGTACAAACGACAGCTTAATTACAGAACTTATTTCATAAGCAGAAGACTCAATTCTGAGTAAATTAAATTCAGGCTACATTCCTCCGGAACTATTCATTTATTGTGACAAAAATGGTCCAATCCAAGACCACAATAATGTTCCAGTAAACCATCACCGCCGAAGACATTCTGCAAGAAAACAAATTAATGGTATCGATGATGAAGATAATCAGGAGAACTACGTTTTCTCGAAAGCGCTACCAAATAGAGATATGAAAACAGACACTTCAATTACATTGGATGTAAATGATGGCAATGAATCACAACTAAATCTTTTTAATGCTATTCCAACCCATGCAGAAATAAATAAAGGGAACAAAGATGATATCGATAAAGAAACGGAAGATGACATCAAAGATAAAGCCGTATGCGAATCGATAAAGAGGCGACACCTGTATCAAGTAGAAAATGCGAACGACCTCGACTAATAAGAACCGGATCTAGGGGCAGATGATTTAATAATAATAAACGATAAAAGAATTCTTCTTTTTTTTCTTTCTCCTTTTGTTTAATGCAACTAAAAATGCATTTTCATAAACAAATTTTACTTCGATAGATATTGACAGGAGGACAAGCTAATAAACGTAATTAAAATCGAATCGTCAAAATTGTAGATGCATCGTGATTAATCCATTTAACGATTATACAGATCATCATGGGAACGTAAGACTCTTCAATATCCACATTCGATGAACACTTCATTAGTACTTCTAATCGAGTTAGCAAAGAGAAGAAAAACTAATCGTTTAACGGGAAAACAATAATAGGCAATCCGAAGGACAATGTAGCTCGCTAAATCATTAATTATATTTGGAAGCAAACCTTTAACGGTTGTGAAATGCGTATAAATTTATACGTATAATTTTAAATTGGCATATTGAATCGAAACATACTTATCTTCTTCCGCTTTACCTTCGAGTTCTGCATTAAGAATCATGCATCTTAATCGAATTATTCGAGGCAAATCAATTTGTTCTTTCGATTAAATTAAGTTCGAAAACTGATCGAATCGATTCTTTTATTTCAGATGGAGAATCAAGGCTTCGCGGGAGAGCAATATCTCAATAACGAAAGCAGTACTTTCATTCACAAAAATTCCTCAATATATTTTGACGCTCACATTTACGAGATGTCTTAGTAATCATCTCGTAAATGTGAACGTACAAGTTTCAAAAAATTCTGTAGAATTTCTTCCAACTTCCTTGAAGAATCAGCTCATTTGAGGGTCGAACAAAATGGTCATTAATTTATAACTTTGAATATTAAGAACGACGGGTCCGAAGCAATCTTCTCAATCAATTTATTTCAAAAGAAATTTAACTTTTTAACTTCCCTTTCGCCGAGGATTTTTATCGTCAATTCCGTCTACTTCGGCGAATTACTTCATGTGGGAAAAAATAGATAACAAAGAAACGAAGGATCGTACATTGGAAACAAATCTTTCTGATGATCTACTTTTGAAGGAGAATAATGGGAATAAAACTTGTACGTTATCGAGATTGCGAAAAGAGGATGTCAGCACAAGCAAAAAACGCAGAATGTAAGGATTGTAGAAACAAAGGTAATGAACTTTGAGAAGATTAAATTTGAATAATGAGTAGGAATCATCAGGCCTTTATCTATTGAACGAAACGTTTTTCAACACAATAACAAGTTCATTCCATTTTGTCACTCATTGTTCAAGAGTACAGAAGAATCCACGGATACTATTTCTAGGCAAAATTCTTTTCTATTTCGGGAAAACATTCTTTTTCCATTCCGATATTTTCAATCACAGAGAAGGTTCAACAACAAAAATAAGAGCAAGAGCAACATCATCACCATCGTCATCATTACGAACAGCAGCGCTTACCATTGAGAACACTCGAGTATAGTGCAGTGTGATAGAAATGACGATAAGACGAAGCTCCTCCACGTGGTGGAAACTAACGAAGATAAAGCGCTCATTATAACGACCAAATATAAGGATAAATTCCATTTACACGCATAACCATTGATATGCCATAAAACCTATAATATTTTTCTCAAATCTTAAGGATTCAAGTGATTCTCAGGTGAACAACACATGTTAATTTCGTTAAAGAAAACGTGATACTGAGAATAATAATGACGACAGCGAAATAATAATTTATCGAAGACGAAAGGTACGGGATTATTGAATCTGACACCGATAATAACGCAAGCATCTCAAAGAAAGATAATTGGGTCATTATTACAGAGAATGGATACATGCCACTTAGAGTAAATTTTTCAATAGGATCAAAAGTAACAGATCCTTTAATAGTTTTGAACCGATTCAGTTATTCCAACTGTTTTTCACGAACCAACTAGTTGATGAAGTAATAAAAGAAATAAACAAATATGCCAAATCTTGTTATTGTTGTTAGAATCTATCTAAAGGCTCCGTAATAGCCAGCATGGCATGATGTAAATAAAAATGAATTTTAGATTTTCATTGATTCATTCTAAATATATGTACAAAGCCTATTTCTAATATTGGTCAACTAAACATGACAATAGAATTTTTGTTACGGATATATTTACAAGAACTCGAGTCGATCAATATTTTGAATGCTTCATTTAAAAATTCATAAGTCAGATAGCAAAAATCTTAAAATACAACGAGCCCGTATTTTTTTAGAATATCTAAATTCAACATTTTATAAACAGTTGATTCCCGGTCAAAATATTTGTGTAGATGAACCGATAATAAAATTTGAAGGGAAAATTTTTTCATTACATATAACACGATTAAGCCAACAAAATGGAGTATAAGAATCTATGCGATGACAAATTTTGAAGCAGGACATATCTGTACTATCCTATCTTATTATGAAAATATTACATAAGAAAATCTAATTTGTCCAAATCTATCAGTTAGCACTAGAATTCTATTACATTTACATCAAAAGTTGTTAAATAAAATTTCCAAGGAACAGGATTACCATATGTTTACTGATAGATATTATGCCAATATATCTTCGGCAGAGAAACCAATAAAAATGAAATGCCATTTGACTAGTATTATAAAAACTAAGAGGAAAGCCATTTCAACATTTATGAAAAAAATCCAAGTTTTTAGTTAAGAAAACTTGTTTCTATAAAAAAGGAAAAATTACATTTTTAGCTTGAAAGGACAAGGGAACTGTGTAACTTTTAAGTAATTGAAATGATACTGGAATGATGGATTCGAAAAGAATTCTATGAAGAGATAAAAAAAAATTTAGAATTAAAAAGTATAATGCAGTTGCCAGCAACACAACTTACGTGGGGGCATTGATCGAGGTGATCTATACGTATCTACTTATTATTTCATTCTATTCGCTAAATTTGTACAGGATAGACGTATTTCCTATTATTCGTGCCTTGTTTTTGTTTATAGTTCTTGTAACGTACATTAACGACCTCTTTATTAATTATCTCGGGGCAGTGAGACAGTAGGCATACTGAGACAGTAGTCGTATGGTCGCTGGTTCAAATATGCCACCAATAAACCTAAAAGTCTCAATATTGGGAGACATCTACTCCATACGGAACACATCAAATAACCAAGTAAAGGATGTCTACATGTCCACTAATGCTTCAATCTACCGAGCTGAGTCTCTATTTACTAGCAAAAAGAGCAAATCTAATACAATTACAAATATGTCAAATTCACACACGTTCCATCAGTTCGAAATGTGGCTACAAGATATACCGACACACAACTCATACAGTATCCTCTCTGAAATCGATGCTACACCAACAGGTAACACCAAAAACAAATAAAGAAAATAAATCTCCTCGTATTTACATTCAGGGTCAATATTCATGTGAATAAGACTAAATCCTTCTCAAATGTTGGAGTCAATTATTATGGTCCTTTTCGCACTAAAAATTGCACTAAGAGTTTTCACTAAGAGGTTTTCTGCTAACTTCTCCATATCACAAACCTTCAGCTCTAGAATTCCTCATTGACAACACCTGCTTATTTGCTAAATCATTCGTATTTCAAATTTCTTTGTCCTAATAACCAAGTCATCAAGGATTTGGCAAAATTCGTCTCTTAGCTTTATCTTCGGCAGAGGTCCTTTTTTAGGCTTTTTCCCTCTTATTTTTTCCATCATTTAGAATACCATTGGTATGGGGAGGTTGTAAACTGCCATGATCATTTCCCAACTGATGAGCGATTTGGCATTCATCTGTAGCATGAATCCGCTTCGCTTGGAAAGAAAACTATGGCCTAAAAAACCCCAAGGAATTTGCAGTATCCAATTGAATGCTCTTTCCTTTTCCTTCTTTCTTCGACTGTTTGATCCTGAGACAAATTTCTTCTTCGAATAAATTACCCAACTCGGTCAAGACTTCAAAATTTCTTTGCTTCAGAAAGCTTTTCGCAACGGATAATTTCGCACTAAGAGAATGTTTGTCTCAAAAAGAAAAAATCTATTCCTCCACTTTGTTATACTATAAAATTTGATTCATTACCCAACCCGAACGTTTATCTTCACGAAATATAATCATTATCTTGCCTATTACAAATTAATCCACATCGGTTCACATAACTCACTTACCTCTCCTTCATCTTCCGGAACGATCGGAACTACTAAGGGCAGATTCCATCCCTGATAGAGAAGATACCTAAGTCACAACATGTAACGCTTCATTCATGCAAAAGTGTTAATCACTCGTAGATTTGTGCCTATGTTTTTCTACCGTTTTACTTCATTCCTTTATTAGCATTAGATTATCTAAATGATCAATTTTCTTTTTCTTTCTTAAAGATTTTCTTATTTCTTTCTTGAAGATTTTTCCTCGAAGTGTACACCACATCGTTAATTTTCTTCATAATTTTATATGGGCTTTCCCAATTGCTCTTGAGCTTCTTCGTTCTGCCTCTTCTGTATTGAGAGTTGAACATACCTTCTGACCCTTTAATAAGCTTTTCTTCAAGCAAAACTACATCTCTATCCGCTTCTTTATGGTTCTATGGATTTCGTCTAGCTTCGTATTAAACTTCGAGACATAAGATTTAATGTGTATCTCCCTTTTCTATACGGATGGACAACAAAGAAAATCTAATAGTATTTTTAAGTCATTTCTAGTTAATATTTTTGCTGAAATCTTATGCCTTGCGGATCTATAAATTAAATAACACAATAGAATCCACAGATCCTAATCTTTCTGGTCCTAACGAATTTTGCCAGATGATCAATCAAGTCCGTTTTGTTGCAGATATAACGCCTTCGACCTAATTTTTTGGATTCCTAACAACTCCCAAACGCGTATCATTAACTTCCTCTTTTTTCCTTTCAAATGAAAAATCCTCCAAGGAATTGGAGGAGGATCATTTTATAGAGAATCGGCTAGATCTATGATATGTTCAACAATTCCGCAATTTCTTGCGAATTCTTTTGAACATTTTTGAAGGAATTTTGGAAAATCCTTTTCTTGCTCTATCGAGAAATTCCTAGAATTTTCCTGAAGCACGTTATTCAAACTATTAATCAATTCTCATGAAACTCTCACTAGTGAACCCGAACTTTGTAATACAACTCACCCCAATAGCTCCATCAAATCTATTTTTCACAAAAGTCGCGCTGTAAGATGCAATCATCTGCAATATTCGTTATCACCAAGGAACAGTTTTTCTGAAAACTTCCCTGACTCCACCAAAACTTAAATAATCTGGAATGCTTATGAGTCACATTCTCTCAGACCAAATGACCAGAGTCTAAGACAAAAATATACCCAATATTTATCGTCAAAATAGTTTTGATGTATAGTAATGACTTATCAATTCTAAACCCGCTCGTAACAGTATATAACTATATTTATTGATTATAGACATTCAAAATGAGATTTTATAATAATAGTAGAATACTTTTTCCAGTAATATACTAAAAAAATACCACAATACTCACAAAAGTTACTGTGAAGACGAATGTGTATAGTTGTATTGTATGCAAATATGTATGTGTATGTGTATGTATATTTTTTCAACAAATTTCTGTTGAAAGTCTGTAATCGAAAAGTAAGCATCTAAGAAATAATATATTCCTTCTATTGAAAATTTACAGTTAAAAAAAAAAAGTTAAACTTTGGGCTAATTGTTTGCAATAGCGAAAAGAAGAAGCACAATATTATTTCATAAATCATCTAGTAGTAAAGAAGAAACCTATGCGTTTTACAAAAATTTGCATAGTAATGATAGAAAAGAATTTAGATTTTTCCAAAAATAAAAACAAATAAAATTGTATGCCTCGGATTTTGATTTGGATATTGACGATTGAATAGTTGTGATAATTAACTTGATACTATATAAATATATAGTAAGATGCTATTCAATATATTATACAAGAATTAATTATTAAGAAAGATATCGAAGATGATAATGTCGAGGAAACTGCAATTAAGTGCGCTAGGTGGATTGAATTTTGTGGACGTCAGAAATTGTTTACTTTCATTCGAACAATCGACATCAACAACTACTTATACTATACTTCATATGATGTATTTTCTTTATAAGTTGATAACAAATTGATAAATTTGCTCATAGAACAAATAAACAGAATAAAAATTAAATAAAGCCACATTAATTACACATAAACTAATCCGGATGAAATAAGAAAATTCTTGAGATCAATTCTCTGATGTAAGAGTCAACTCAATAAACAATTATTGCTAAAAAGCACATTGTATAATTTTGATTTACTGCGTACCATCATATCACAGAACAGATTCGAAAGATTATACTTTTCAGCAACTTTCAGTTCGCTGATAACACTACTATTGCTTATAGTAATGAACTTGGAAAGGTATTTCGACTATGGGATGAAAAAAAAACAAAAGAAGTATCAAAAAATATTTAAACTAGGAAGAAATATCATCGTTGACGAAACATTAATTTCATGGTATAAAAGATTGATAATTAAGTAATATATTCCAAATAAAGCCCATAAATAGGGAATAAAATAATTTAAATTATGCTCTCCTAAAGGATATATATGGATGTAATAAGGATCTATAGTGAAAAGCCAACTACATTTTGTGACAATACAATAGGACACCCCTAAATTTTCTATATTTCTCAAGTCCCATGGTATTAACATTGTGATATCAGAGGAACTGGATTGACATATAATGTATGTCTGCAACTTACAGCAAAGTTTATCAAGCAGGGATGAACATTATACATTGATAATTTTTATACCTACTATGAATTAACTATATCGTGTCGTCCAAAACAGAAGTTGAAACAATTAAAAATAATAAAAAATTCATTCGAAGACATTTTTCAGCATACTAATGAGTTATTGGTATGTGAGTCATCTTCAACAGCTGTGCCAAAAGGCATTAAAATCTGTCATGGTATATTCTGGGTCGTTAGAAACTGCAGTAGTAACACCTATACTTACGAAAGTTCTTGCGAGAATTCTTACGACCATGATCGGGAACGGATTCGCACTTAGAATAATTTTATTCACGTAAAAGTATCCATCCGCGCATCCACGGCTTATCACTCCTCATTAAGAAAACAGACTCTGAAGAGAGTTTTTTCTTCGAAGAAATCTTCACACTCGCAGGAGTTTGAATTCTGCAGCTGCATATGGATTGTTTCAGCAGTAATTACAGAAGAGATTCATCAGTTTGTACATCAGATACAATTAGATATCCTAAAAGTCTTAAATTCAAAAACAAGACACGGGCTTCACCTTAATCAGTTTAGGAATTAAAAGAAAGCTTGCAGCAGTGCCCCTCTCAAAAATAGCGGATGAGTCCTTAGAAAACTTGATTAAGAAATTAATCAAGTATGGCAAATGACAAATTCAGTCATTTTGTGTCTCTGTTTAAGGACCGATGAACGCTACCGGCCTTTTAATTTTATAACTCTGTTTCTTGAATAGTTTTTACGAGATGTGAAAGAAAAGCATTGGAATCAGCAGGAAAGGAAGATATCGGCTTAACTGTCCAGACTAAAAAAGTAAACTACATAAAATTACCCAATTTTAAGCTGTGAGTCGTAGTAATAGGATGAATAACTTATTTAGTCTTTAGTGAGCCAACTTACAAGAACTAGTCACACTTTAGTATACAAAACGACATAGAGAAAAGTCGCAACTTAACATGTCGTGAAACTTCATTAAAATCAGTTGATTAATGACATCTATTGAAATAGCAGCGAGTATAGTTTGCGAAGCAATAACTGGATATTTCCAACAGATGCATCTACGTCACATGCTACTCAATACAAGTGACAAAATTGTGCTCTGTATGATGCATCCGAACCCATTTAAAAGGAGAGTGGTTATCTTCTTTCATGAATATCACGAGATGGCAACTGAGTGCTGCGTTGTTGTAACATGTAAAGATATTCCTGGTATGTAATAGACGATAAGAATCGGCAAGTTGACAATAATGTCATGTAGCAAGAACAAATAGTTACTGATCCATTTTTCATAAAAAGATGCTGCAGCTATCAGCTAACGACCAAGAGACTCTTCGATGATGTCAGCTTTGCTTAAAGTATCATCGACGTAAATATCTTAAGATCACACTTTCGCGAACTCTGGATGAATGGCTTTTTCATCCTAGGTCGATCATACGAAGAACCAAAAAGATAGTAGAAGAAATACAGTAATTGACGATGTTCACTCGGTAGTATCATTACCGAAAATAGCCATACGATACAAAGAGCTAATAGTTCCGTTGGCTTAACACTATTACATGTTAAGTACATTTATTTTTTCACTGCTCACGCTTAATATTTTTATAAATTACATATTCGTGATATATATTTATAACTCCATACACGTGATTGTTCTAATAAAAAAACAATGTCATGATCTGCCATTTGAATTCCCGAATCTATGCATCACTGTCTTTTCTTCGTTCATGTTTTGGTACTTCGATATCGAAATATCGTAATATCAAATGATATCAGGTAAATGAATGCTCGATTACACAACTAATATCGTGAGCATACATAAAAAAGAAGAGTTAATTAAATTCATCATTAATTAATAATACAATTAAATTGTATCGCTGTAATCGATAATACAAAATTCTATTTTAAGCAAATAAAATAGTTAAACATATAAAGAAAAAAATGAGAACATTTAAAAATGTACTACTTATGAGAAAATCCAAAAAAAGAATTGTTAATGGTCATGTTAGTTAATAATTGATTGAAAAAATTACAACCAGTAACTCGTACCGATTTGGATGTTTTGTTCTCAACAAAATAAGTACTGAAGAAATACAATTTTGTTCACTTACTTATTTAAGAAATTCCACGTTCCAAAACATTCATCCTTATTGTAGGTTGAAATTAGAGTAGATTGACTCGTAATAAGTTAAAAATAAGATATATTTACATCAAAGTAAATTGAAAATGTAGTAGGTTGAAGTTGCAGTAGATTTCTTGGAAAATTGATTTGAGAATGCAATGATGATATGAAAACAGATTGAAAAAGAAATTGATATTAAATTTTTTGTAATAAAATGAATTGTAAAATTATATGACTATAAAATTTCAACATTTACTTACTGCTATACTTCTATAGAAGAAATATACTAGCTCCTTGATCGTCTTCCATGGTGCATTGCCTTTAATACGCGATAATTATTTATTGTTCATGAGACACCAAAAATTTTATTCAATTGGATGTTTCACATATAAAGTATAGATATATATATATATATCTATCGAACTGTAAAAAAACAAAATAGAAACATTAATAAAACTTTATACGAACAAACACTGATTTAATGACTGCTTTGTGCACAATCTATTAAAATAAACATGCTTCTAAAATTTAATTGAAATCACAAAATACAAATGAATGCAAATTAACAATAAAACCCTAAATCGATTTTAGTTCTTTTATTTTATCGAAACAAAGATTGATTCATTCATGACTCCACAAATTGTGCAATAATAATCTGAAATAAAATACAAACAATATCATTAGTATCAATAAAAAAGAATCATTAAAAAATATAGACAGAAAATAAGAGGTTACTTGAGTTTTTACTAATATAAAGTACCAACGAAATAAACAAAAATATTACAAAAAAGATTTAATAAACATTAACTATTACCTACAATTTATTAACTTATTAATATTAATTATTACCAAAAACAGAACAACTTCTCTTCCATTAGCTGCATGATCAACAACCGTGTCAATCAATTCATTCCTCCACTATATAAATTTACTAGCCATAATTCCATGCTCCGCGTTTATCAAAACTATGCTTAAGAATTACGCCTGTTTTCATTATTGGTCTAAATATTGTTTTTCATATTTTTCGAGAAAAAAAAGTTTCATACAGTAGCACCTGCAAAAAAGAAAAAGTTCATATACCTATTACTGAGATCCAATAATGGAAGACATCTTCTTCCATCTTAACGGAACAAATAAGTGCATAAAGAGCCACATTTCAAACTGCCAATTTCCTATCCTTGACCAACAAAATATTAATAACGTTTATAGTGCTAATAATTTTATAATAAAAATACATAGCTTATAATAAATCACAATTATTAATAAATCAATAATTAATTTATTATTAATAATATTATTTATAATTAATAATATTATTTATCTATGTAACAAAAAGCTAAGTATTTTCCAAAGTAGGTATCCTATTACTTTGCAACAAAAATTATTTAATCCTATCCCACGGCACAATCTTTCATAAATTCATGTATGAAGACAAATTTCCTAAAACATACTGATTAAAATAGAATAATATATATTCTTATAGGAGAATTAATACATCTTAATATAAATTCTTATACCAGAATTTATTTGCAAATTTTTAATAGATACACGTAACATACCTTCAGTTACATACGAAAACTAGTAAAAAAAGACACTGTACGTGTGAGGTTGTCTATTCGTATTATATTATGTATTACAAATTATTCGTAGCAAATGCTTCTAGAATTTAATAAAACTATGTATTATAACGTAAAATAAAAGAGTTTTATGCATAAATATAAAGCTTTTTCAAATATTCAAAAAATCGGGGTCGTAGATAAAACCTTCCTCCTTAAAATAAGATCGCGTTCATAAAAATCGATTAAAAATTACTCTTGTTCTCATTATTGGTAAAAATGCTGTTTTTCATATTTTTCAGGAAGAGAAAGTTTCGTACAGTGGTCACCCTCGAAATCTGTGGCAAAAAAAAAGGTCATATCCCCATTACTGATTTTCAGAGATATTATTAAATTTAAGAAAAAATTGTTGTTCGTTTTTTATTTTATAAACTAGAAATGAAGAGATTTTATAAGTAATGTGTAACATATTAGTAAGCGTCTAAATTTGTAATTCAGGAATCATAGTTATGAAGCTAATGATTCCGTTGGTACCTTTTTTGATTTTATCGAAAAAAATAATTAATAACTTTATTTACTTTTGCTTATTTGATAATTTAATAAGATATTACTATCAAATCTCTTAAATTTATTTCTCCTACTTGATTCGAGTTTCGGGATAACCTATTCTATATAGAACAAAGGCAGCAGTACAATTTCGCTAGATGACAAATGTATTTAAAGTATATATATATATTCGTCGATTATTTTTTTTAATGTAATAATTAGTGAAAATATATACATATATTATAATTTTTCTCTAGCATAGATTATTATGAGACCTTTTTTGTATATCATCATTAAAAAAGATATAAGAAAATTCAACAGAAAGAATGATGTAATAATTTCTCGATCTCGATGGCAAATTCATTTTCACGAATATCTTTTAAACGCCACATTTTCCAAATTTGCAAACATTACACTATACAAATTGCATGTTTTGCTACCGATTAATATATTGGACGAAATTATAACTTTGAAAAAAAAAGTTAATTACCTGTAAATAGAAGGACGATGAAGCCCCGTGAAAAGCTGTTGGCGCACGCGAATCCAAAATGAGAGCAGTGGTAGGGAAACCGGTAGAGACTTGTACTTTTAGTGGAACCCATCTGGCAACAGCGGAAAAGATGTTCTCAATTATGTTCTCAATCTTACGATAATAAATAAATACGAAAATACAATGAATCAAATAATAAATAAATCTGTGCAATAAATTTGAATCCGTTTCATAAATATTTTAAAAAAACAATATTTATCTCTATCTATTCATTGTTATTTATAAATCTCTAATAATATAGAATTTATAATTAAAATGAAATATCAGGAAGCGTTAGAAATCAAGAATCATTGGAAATGTTTGGTCAGTGTTTAGAAAGAAGAAATTCGCGGCGAAGAAATAATTTTAAATAAATAATGGTATAAAAAACTAATTGACAGTGAAGGTTTTTACAACAAACCTTCAGTATATATATATATATATCACCATCATTAATTGTTTTACTGAGTAGAAGTGAGAGGGAGTGGGAAGAGAGAGAAAGGGAAAGTAATTGTTTTCCTAAATTAATACTTAAGTAAATGCTTAAAGTAGAAACTTATAAATAAGAACAAAAAGAACAGAATATAATTTTCAAATAACAAAATTTAACTTACAGTATTCATCGTATATACAAAACTAGCTCTCTTCTTGATACTTCACATTCGTTAACAGATCTTAGAACATCCTTTCAAAAATATATGTAGTAAATAAGTCTTGACATTATTTTCTTTTCTCTGTTTATTTCCATCTACTTGAAAATCTCTCTTTGTATTGTACGTATAGCAGAACAAAGAACCAATAACCTTACAAAATGTTTTTATTTATTTGCTTAAGTCTATTGTTCTAACTTGTGCTTGAATATATCTTTTTTACCTTATTCCTCGTTACCTTACATATTACATACATATATGTTTTCACAGAGAATAACTTTTAAATGAAAACAAGTAAATATTTCCAGTATTTATGAATGTATGGAAAAAATGTTCAGAACAAAGTCACCTTTCAAAGGACATCTATTATGATGGAAAGAATTTTTTCTAAAGGTTTAATTTTATTAAGAAATTTCAAGATCATAAATATTTTATTAAATCTACAATTAGTTTGTATAAATTGATCTCTCTTGCCATTCTGAATAAAAAAGTATTAAACTACAATGTCGTAAAATGATTAGTTTGCGAGATATTTTGAAAAAATTATTTATGGTAGACAACATAGTCGCAATCATATATATATATATATATGATTTGATTATATTATATATATATTTATTATAATATAATATATAAAAATAAGACGTAATTATTAAGAATTTTTAATACAATGATAAATATTTAATTTTTATTTAATAAAAAAATCATTAAAAGAAAAATTTATTAATTTTTGATGAAAAAAATGTTTTTATCTTATTTTTAATAAAAAAATTACTAAAAGGAAAAATTTATTGATTTTTTGATATTTCATGAAATTTATAGTATATATATATATAAATATTTAATTTAAATATAATGATACAATAGAATATAAATATTTAAACAAAGCAATTATTCTCCTAATAAATAAATAATTTAAAATATGTCACAAATTATATTACATAATCGAATATTATTTAAGAATGTAAATAAAGTAGAAATAATTATTATCATAATAAATAAATAATTTAAGATATGTCATATATTATAATATATAAATAAATTTTTATAAGTATTCTTATTATAATTAAAAATGTGATTCCTTACAAATTATAACTGATAAATAATTAGTATTAGCTTATGCGATAATTTTGTCAAATTCTTAATATAAATGTTAAATGACTATCCTCAGTCTTTAACGAACGTTCAATTTGTTAAGTTCAATATAATCACATAGGTTCGAAACGTATAAATACAAAGAATTCTGAAAATTAACTCTTCACAATATCACGTAATTTTTAAATTTCATTTTTATATACCCATTTTTTAACAAATTTGATTTTAGCTTTATATCCAAAATTGTTATTGTGTTTTAAATATATATTATAATTGGTATAGTGAAATTATTAACATAAATAAGATCAAGATTTTTTTTTATATAATTTTTATATAAATAGTAAATATTGCGCCTGAAAGAAGGCTTCACTTTGTACTTTCGTAATACTTGTATTAGGTGGACCGGAAAGTAATGTCGCTTTCTTAAATTAAATTCAAACAAATAAATTTTTAACAAGTTCTTATTTTTAATCACAATCAAATATCGATATTCGCAGAAACGACATTACTTTCCGGTCCACCTAATACTTTCAAGAGGGGTCGATCAGTAAAAAATGTTAATTGTTTTATAAGGCAGTAAGCATAAGAATGTTTCTTATTCAACTTCGAGCTAATAATTACATTAATTTAAAAAATTAACTTCAAAATTTTTATGATATTTAATGCATTGTAGAATTTATTTATAAAATATAAAAAGGCAAAAAAGAATGCAACAAATAATGTCAAAAGAAAAAAGAAGATGAAACTTTCAATCTTACTGAAAGTTCTATTGAGTTAGATAATATCACTCTAAACAAGATTGATAATTCGTCTCGAACATATTATCTAGCTTTACTTTGACTAATACACATTCGCTCAATCTCGGAAGATCAACTAAAACTTCCCCATCTTAGATTGAGAATGATGGGGGACAGGTTTTATTTTTATGACTAAAGACGTCACTCTTCTGCCAAAAGTCCAGGTATTTTTCTCAGAGCAAGTTCAAGATTACTGACTAACTTTCACAAATGATCAGATAATCTCTTTATTTTATGAACTTTTTATATACATTTAAAAATATATGAAATATATACATATATATTTTCAATTTATTATTATTTATTATTTGTATTTCTTATTTTACGCATAAAAGTTTTGAAAAACTTTGAAAAAACTTAATTTTATATATCTCTTACTAAATTAACGAGTCTTTTTGTATTTAGTTATTTATCTTAAATTACTCGTTTTATATAAAAAACTATATCATATTCAAATAGAAAATGTCAGTGATTCATAACAATGACTCATAAAAAAGATTTTGATATAGTAGTTTGTTTTTATATTAAGGATACCGGAAAGTAATATCGCTTTCTTAAACTAAATTCAAACGAATAAATTTTTAACAAGCTTTTATTTTTAATCAATAATTTAATCACCTTCGTTATCAACAACCTTTTGCCATCTAGTATGCAAATTTTCAATGCCGGACTGATAAAAATCGATTGGTTTTTGAGTAAAATATCTCGAGATGGCATTTTGAACATCATCCAAATTTTCAAATTTTTTGTCACTAAGAAAACGTTGTAGCGATCGGAATAAATGGAAATGCGAGGATGCGATATCGGGCGAGTGGGTGAGGCAATACCTCCCACCCCAATTCATTAATTTTTTCCAAGGTTCTTCTTGCACAGTGCGGTCTTGCATTGTCGTATTGCAGATTAACGCCTTTTCTGTTGACAATCGCCGGATACTTTTTAATTAAAGATTGGTTTACTCGATCCAATTGTTCACAATAAAGATCTGCATTAACAGTTTGTCCAGGTTTCAGCACTTCAAAATGAACAATTCCGCGTATACTCCACTAAACACACAGAAGCGCCTTTTTGGGATGTAAACCTGGCTTCGCAATACTTCGTGATGATTCATTTGGAGAGAGCCACTGCCTTTTGCGTTTTGGATTATCATATAGGACCCATTTATCGTCTCCAGTGATCAAGCGATCAAAAAACAGTTCTGTATGGTGCCGTTGAAGCAATACGTTGCATGTGATGAATCGGTTGGCTTTGTTCTCTTCGGACAGATTATGGGGGAACCAAACACCTGCTCTGCTTATTTTTCCAATCTGCTGCAAATGTTCTTGAATGATCGACCAAGGTTGGTTAAGGGTGTTTGAGAGTTCCTCGATTGTCTGACGTGGATTTGCTTCCACTTCTGCCTTTAGCATGTCGTTGTCTAATGTTATTGGTTTTTGGTTTTCTTGATCGATAGAAGTCAGAGAGATCAAAATTACCGGATCTGAACTTAGAGAACCATTTTTGGCATTTACGAACGTCTAATGCACTTGGATAAACATTGCAAATGTTTTTGGTCGCAACTATTGCATTACTACCCTTGCGAAACTCAAAAAGCATACAATGCCGGATATGCTCTTTTGGTATTTGGCTGGCCATTTCACCCCAAATTGCAAAAAAAGAGTCTAATATTTAATTATTTAGAAGTGAACAAGTCACAATAACCTTAAAATGTTTTTGACACGACTTCGAAGTAGACAATGAGCTAACAAATTAAATTAAATATCGACATGCGCAGAAACGACATTACTTTCCGATCCACCTAATATTTTATAGGGAATTGTGACATGTTTGTTAATTCTTCTATTAACAAAATGTTATTCAATTGACTGTTGTAAGAATTATCAGTCAAGTTATGTTATATACAAGTTATGTTATGTTATATATTCACTTATGTATTCTATTTTTGTAAATTCATACAGATTTCTTACAAGCATATATCGATTAACAGTATCAAACTTGGGCGTTTATTCTGTATTATTTATAATAATACAGAATATATTGATTGGCGCACCCTTACACAAACAGGTACTAAATATATTACTATTTGTTTTATTATTATTTTATATATGAGTTTTTTATTGTATTGAGATATATTGGCAAATCATATATCATTAGCGAATATAACTTGCTTAATATTGCTTGAACTTTCTTGATTAAATTTTTTATAAAATTTTTGAAGATTAGTTTAGACACAAGATACACTCCTAAGTATTTTACTATTTTAATAGTTTTGTTTTGTATATCATTTTATATTATTGTATTGTTTTTTTCCTTTTTCTTTGTCAATATTATTATTTCTGTTTTGGTTAGATTTAATTTTATTCTCCACTGAGTAATAATGTGACTTCAATAATCTTAATTAAAAATAATATGACTCCAATGTGACACAAGGAAATTTCATTACTACTACCCTTGAAAGTTTATTATGTAAGAACAATGATTTTCAATTTTTAACAATGTTAGATTTGATCTCGATAACCGTAGAATGTATTCTCAATGATTTATATTTCAATTTTTTATATTATGATTGACTTTTTAATTTATATATGTTTTGTAAATTTTTCCAAATATTCTCTTAATATATCTCTTCGTTTATATATTAAAATTACTAATTATATATTAAATTTACTTTAAAAATAAAGTATTTAAATTTAAAATTATTTAAAAAGAAAATATTTTCGTAAACTTATGTTTAATTGCGTGTTAAGCATTTCAATTTTTAAAACTATTTTTAACAAGTTAGATGTTTTTGTTTTAACTATTAAGAGCGTTATGTCACTGAATTTAAAAGAAATCATATTTATAAATTTTGTAGAAAGAAGTTGATTCTTTCTTCCTTGTAATTTTTTGTACATCTCTAACTTTTGCGTTTCTAACTTTTCTTATTATTTGGTTTCTTCTTTCGTTGTCTTCATGACTTTAGATTTTGCCATAAATTTTAGGTTTCTCTGTTTAAACTGCAATTATAAATTCATTAAATATATAAGTAAATATTGATGAAAATAATTTATTAAAAATAAAAAGAAGATTATATAGATGATTAATTTATAGTTTACTCAAGAATTAATTTCTTCTAGGTAAAATATAATAATTACCTGCTGTTTATGTATCTTTTGATATTTCATTTTTTTTCTATGAAGATTTTGTTGTATTTCACTAAGAAATCTCATATATTCTGTATTATATATTTATTTCGTTGTCATAGAGTTTTTTTTATTAATTGATACGAAAAGGTAGATGATTCTTCAGTCATGAACATTTCTCATGCATTGATGACCCATTTGGATATTTCGTTTCTCTGAAAATAATAAATTTCTATATCGAGCATAGAAATTGATAATATTTGTATTAAATATAATGATATTTATCAATGATATCAAATTAATTGTTGGAATTATTTCTATATTTATAATTTTTTTAATCATTTCAATAGTAAAATATTACTCCCTTTATCTACATTGTGAGTTAATATTATTATGATTTCTAACTTGTAACAAAGTACTATGCGATGTAAAGAACATCAAGTTTTTAACAGTTTGTGCTTGCTAGTTATATAGATAATATGTAGTTATAATTGTGTGATCAGGACTCAAATCGAACTCTGTAAAACATCAATGAGATTAGAATTGACAATTTTTTTACCGTTGGATGTTTATCAAGTTGTAAAGTATGACAACTTTATCAATATCAAAAACGGAAAGTACAAAATTAATTTGTTGCGAATTTCTCTATATATGGGTACGTGCCAATAAAGGTGAATTGTTTTCTACAAAAAAAAATTTAATAAGAGTATAATGTATAATTGCAAATAATTTTTATTTACTTTAGAAAAATATATATATTTACCTTCATAGATGCAAATTTAAAATATCTTCTGGAAGATTTTTTAATAATCTAACAAATGCTAATGCGATAGGAGTTCTCATTAGATTTTATTTTTCTATATTTATAAAGAACTTTTCTCTGATCCTGGAACATGGTGATTCCTTGCTGTGATGATTCCATGTAATTGACATAGTAATCTTTTTAATTTATTTAAACTTTATTTTTTTTTAACTTATTTTCGGTTATAGATCATTCTGATTATTTCTTTATAGATTGTCTTCGAAATTAACTATTTCTTTTTAATTTGTATAAATAATATTTTCCAGTGATATAACAATATTAGTTGCACGTAAGTATATATTAGATCTTGATTTATAAATTCATCTTTTAAAATGTTAAAATAATGTTACAAGATCTGATTTCCAAAAAGATTAAATTGATATACTACTGTATTAGATCTTCAAACATAAATCTTCTAAAGTCAGTAATTTCATATTAATTAATCTTATAATATCTTCAACAGAAATCGCAGTAAATTTTAATTAATTTTGACAATGAAGACAAAACTTTCTGTACCAATACTATTAATATGAAATGATTGGGTCGAGTAAAAATGATGAAAACAAATCTAAAAGAGTTCTTACATTTTAGAATTAATATCGCCACAGATATTTGTATTAGTTGGCAAGTCATGAATGTGCATTCTATTTCTTTTATATTTTTTAATCATAATACCCATTATAGCTTGTAAAAATTGATAAAAATATCTTTAAAAAATCCTTTCATAAATTTGTCGCTATTTATCTAAAACATAAAATTGTTATGCAAATATAATTAAAATAGATATATTAAGTTATGCCAATTAAAATACTTACTCGAATATTAGCTGTAGAAATAGAACATCTCGCTTGTCTAAATATTCTAAAAATGAATCAATAACATAACATTTCTTACTAAGCAATTGATATAACAAATTCTCTTACTTGTCTTTTTAAATTCCAATAACTCTCTCTTAGATTCAGGAGATTTCTTTTTTGAAGCCATTTTTCATTTCATGAAAATAGGTTCTGATTTCATCATTGTCCTGACTTCTGTAACTTATACAATAAAAGATATTAATATCTATTCTGTTGACTCTTTTAGAAAATCATTTGAATTATAATATATAATATAAAATTAAAAAATATTATAATTAAAAATATAATTAAAAAATAGAAAACAATATTAAATAACATATAATATTATGAAAAATCACATTTATTTTTGAATAATATCTGAAATGTATCTCTGCCTTTATGATGTGTTGACTTGTTCTTCATTTTGAAAAAGTATTTAAAAATTGTATTTAGTGATTCTAATTTCAATTTATATTTTGTAACACAAACTACTTTACTTATTAATTAATATATATTATAGTTCATGCATAGATTCTATAATGATCAATAGATATAAAACTTAAGAGGTTAGAAAAATATAAACCTGGATAAATTTATGATTATTAATATTTGCTTGAATCCTTAAAACATTTATAATAATGTGATAATACATTGATGCCTTTTAGATTATTTTCTTCATTCTATTTAAGTCTTTCTACTTTGATTAGCAGAAAAAGTAAAACAACTAACTTAAGCGACATTGCGGTAGTAACTCGATTCTTACCATAGTGGCGCTCTTGTATTATTCTAGTTTCCGCGGGATATTCGATTCATATTTGCTTTTCATAATCTGATTTCATAATCTTTTACCATCTTTAGAAATAAAACTTCCTGATTTATTGACACTTATGTATTAATCAAATTTATGTACCCGATCGATAATTTCTATCGTACTTATGCACAATATAAAGGGTGTAACGATATTTTCGAGATCGTAGCTGAATGAATAACATAAAATAAATAAATTAAAAAAATAATTTTATATTGTTATTTCTATAATTTTTATATTTGTGATATTTATAATCATATATATTTTTATATTGTGGGTTTATATTTTATATTTTTATTTGCACAAAAAACTTTTTTCAGTCCAATTTGGTAACTTATAGGCTTTATAATCTGTAGTCGCTCTCTTCATTGATCTTGATTTTTTAAAATAATTATCAATTTTATCTTCAAAGTACGTTTTATTAAGTAATTATTGATATCAACATCTTTTCAGAAATACAAAACTGAGAGTAGTTAACGCAGTAGTCTATTTTTCTTAAATAAGAATAAGAATATTAAAAAATAAAGAAAAAATGCTTTGCCTATATGTAAAGCTTAGCAAATGAAAGTAAAGTAGTAGTTTATAATTATTTTTCGAATATCTGAAGTTTTATAATTCTAAATCTGTTTGAAATAAAGGTTTGTTCGGAAAGTAATTTCGTTTTTTTTTTTGTGAAAATGAAAGACAATTTTCGTATTATGGACAAATATTTTATGAACTTATATATTGGCCATTCTGGTCCAATAACTTTTGCCATCTTTCTGGTAGTAGCATGATTCCACGCTCATAAAATTTTTGATCTTTGTTGGCATAAAACTGATCGAGGTGATTTTTGACTTCCTCATTTGAAGTGAAGGTTTTACCGTCTAAAAAATTTTACAGTGACCGGAACAAATAATAATCCGAAGGCGCCAGATCTGGAGAATATGGTGAATGTGGCATTGTATCCCATTCAAGCTGTAAAAGCTTTTGGCAAATGACCAAACTTATATGACATCTCGCATTATTTTGGAGGAACACTATACCTTTTCTGTTGATTAATTCTGGCCTTTTCTGTTGAAGTGTATCATTTAGTTTGTCCAGCTGATGACAGTAAATTTCCGAAATAATTGTTGTGTTATCCGGTAAAATCTAAAAAAGAACGATTCTTTTAAAATCCCATCAAACAGACATCATCAGTTTTTATTGATGGATATTGACTTTGGAAATGCTTTGAGGCGGTTCATCTTTTTTGCTCTATGATCTTTTGCGTTTGACATTGTTATATACAACCCATTTTTCGTCCCCAGTAATGATGCGCATCAAAAATGGATCATTTTCGTGACATTTGAGAAACGAATCACTGACGTCAACGCGACGATACAAATTTCTCTCCGTGAGCATGTGTTGTTCCAGTTGACATACAATGCGTCGGCTACTGTAACTATTAAAATAATCAATTTTACTTTAAAATATCATTCCAATAGTAATCTTATAGTTAAAAGGTTAATTAGTTTTTTTTTTTAATTTATAACATTCCATTGGCAGTATGCAACTCAAAAAATTTATTTCACCACAATAAAATTTACTTGGCTTCCACTGATTTTACCAGTGATTAAACACTTGTTTCAAACTTCGATTCTATCATTTGTTCAAAATATTCGTTTTAAATTGATAAATAAATTGTTTGGACTTGATAAATGTTAACTCAGTTATTTTGTATACTCCTTAAACTTCCAGCTTCCCTCCAACAAAATATAAATAAATTTAGTTATATTTGTATAATTATACAGATTTGTCAAAGAAAAAAAATGTAGTAAAAACATATTGCTTTTTAATGCTTAAAAGTCATATATTATCTTAAAATGTGAAGGAAAAATTATTCGTTTGTATGTACACCGTAAGTTAATATACAACGATAGATAATGATACCTACAGTTTGTTATTTGTTATAATTATCTTTTAATTTTTCCGTCAATTTGAAATATTTTCATACAAAGTTTAAAAATGAAATGTTACGATTGAGTTCACTATATTTGTTTATTTTTCGACTATTTAAAAAATTCGATAGGGTCAGTACGTGCAGAATTGGAAAGTACTTTCGGGGAAGGAAACCAAGTTTAATTGAATAAAATAGAAGAAAACGCTGCCTCTCAAATCTATTTTGCAAAGCAATCACACGTACTTTATCGACTGTTAGCGGTTGAATGTCCTTCATACGTTCATTTCGATCGTAAATACTTTTCTCTCAAAATTAAAACAGACTTCGATTTAGACTGTGGCGCGCGAATACTTAATTATGCTTTTTCTTATACCTATAGGAATGTTAAACCAAACTTTTGTTACTATATTATTCATTTTGATAAGCGTTAGGGACAAAAAACTGGTTAATAAGCTAACGTTCGATAAAATGCTAATTAGATCACGTTACGATAGTGACATAAATCATGAATACGCCAGATCGAAAACAAAGTGATGAATTAAACATAAAATCGTTGTAACCTCGGATCCAAAAAAATTAGTTTATCATCTTTTCCTCTTAAACTTGTGTTGGTCATATCTCTCTCACTCGTACATAATAATCGCTTTCTAGTTGCAGATTGTTATGATTTTGGAAATCATAATTGAAATTACCTATAGTAAATATTACCTATAGTTTTTTTTCTTTTAAATGTATGGAAGAAGAAATTAGATCCTATTAAATTTGATAAATTTTCATCTCTATCGAATATTGCTCCCCAATTTTGCATGTAACATTTCCTCTTCCAACATCTTTTTGTTTTTACTTTTCTCTTTACTCTTGAAATTGCAAAATATTCATGTTCATTCGTGAGCTGTACATATGAAGACTTCGTATTTTCAAGTTGCAGTTATTGATAAAATTCGTACGAGTAGAAAAACAAGCTTATGTAACTTAGTGCGATATAGATGTATACAAAAGGTATAGTTGTAGGTATTGTAGAATTAGGAAAATATTCATGTATATATGTATAATATCTTTTATTGATTATGGGAGGTTATAAACAAAAATATGTTTCTCTGTGAACAAAAAAACGAAAATTTACGTTTATTATTCACACTGTTAAATTTTATTTCTATTATATTATGAATCTTCTTCTAGCTCTCGTGTTGCTTTTCTCTTCTATGTTATATTTCATACTGTCCGTTTCTCTTCCAAATCTTAACGACTCGATTTGAAGGTCACAAAAGAAATTGTAAATAATAAAGGACAATGGAAGGGCGGGCTATGAGACGCGCGGCAAATCTACCTGAAGAAAGTATACTTTCTTTCCATATATATATAGATTATATATATAGATAATATATATTAGATAATATATATTATATAGATAATATTATTATTCTATATATAGATTATATATATTACATATATATATATATATAGATTTGGATCTGAAATGGTATCAAATTCCAAAAAGAATAAAAACCCGAAAAGTATTTCTACATTATACAAAAGTTTACACTACCCGTTGAAAAACAAATTCAAAAATATTAAATTATTTGATGCAAACGACTCGTTCGAGTTTATATATGTACATAGATCTACATAATAGTTTATTTAGTGTATTCGGTTAAATAGATCATTTTATCTTTCCTCTTGCTTACATTTCTCACTCTTTTTTTAATTTATCAGCAAAAATCCTTGACCGTTTAATTAAGTCGATTGGAAATTTATCAAACCTGATTATTCTTCCGCATCCGTAAAAGGCGTGAATCACAAAAGCATATGTATTTACTTTTACATGTAACCCGTATGAAAATTTTATTTTAAAATGATTTGTGACCAATATCTTCATACAGTCGTAGCCATAGTCATAGTCTCGTTTTAATTTTTATTCGACAATGTTTATCATAGGTTAAATTTTCGGGCGCACTTACAAGAATAGATTACTAATATATTTTGTTAACCGGTTACGTTTTTGCTTTTTTCTTACATTGTATTTGCATTCGATCTCTTTTAATATTATCGATAAATTTGTATAATCGTGCTTGTGTGTATGTAGAAAAGAAATGAAACAGCATACAAATGACATTTTCTACTAGTACAATATTAATCGAATAAATTAATGCAAATTGAAATGATATAAAATTTTTGATTTCAAACGTTAATAGTTGACGTTGATTTCATTTTCTCATTGCATCTCACAGTCGAAGCAACATAGAAAAAAACCGGGACCTCTCGTATAAGTATAGTTCTACCGACTATTAAGACACCTAGATTCGGCAAATTACAGTCGCCCTTGATTGGTATTATGCGATGTCGAAATTCTGATTGTCTATTCCTCAGTGTGAAAAATAACTATCGAAATCACACATTGAGAGATTTGTGAATCTTTCCGTTTTTTCCACATACGCATCATAAATAAGTATTATTTCAGGAAAAATAACCGTTTGCAACTTCTAGTATGTTCAACGTGTATCATATTACAAAATTTATTCATCAATTTTTTTCTTTTTACATGTACTAAATATTAAATTTTAAATACCGTTTCTAGTGGTAACAGTTAATCTCAGAATTTAATCAGTGATATCATATATAGATAATTTAATTATATTATTAGATATTAGTAAGAAATAATAATCTATCACAAGTAAACAACTCATTATTCGAATATTCCATGAGTTTCTTCATGCATGGAAGCACGTTCTTTACTAATTTTCGAAAATATCAAAAGTTAAATGAATCTGATGACGTGCTAATTTCTCAATAATTTTTCGTTGAATAATTTCATCTCGTTACCATTGATAATTATTCATAGAGTTAATAGAATTATCGGATTAGTTTTAGAAATAAATGAAAAATAAAAAAAAAAGTTGTATTAAAAATCAATGAGTACAATAAAGAAATACAGAAAATAGGGAAATAAATCATTCTAAATTAGATATATTACATAAGCATTATAATAAACATTTAACCAATACGTCGAAATTTAATTTTGAAATGTAGTGTTTTCGTTCGTTATTTGTTGTGTACAATGATAGTTAAAGTTTTGAAAGGTAGAGGGAAAGGGCTACCAACTTCTACTAGACTTTATAGTTCAGTGCAAGAATGCCCTTCTTTCGTGTAGCATCTAAAAATTGCATGAGCACAAGAGAAAAACGTTTAAAACTTCGATGAATGTGCGTCAATTTTAATTGTGCAAAACGGAAAATACTTCTAAAACTAAGTTAAGTTTATGTAAATTTGCATTAAAAATTCATAATTATAAAATATGTTATAAAGATTTAGTCATATTCCTCTATGATAATTCAACAAATTCCAAGTTTACATTGGAAAAAGTATAAAAAAACTTTTTAAGTTACATGCAGTTATGCAAAATAATTTTTCAGTTATTTAGTTATTATCATAATTTAACAAATTAAAAAAAACTAGCTGCAAAATATTGCACTCTAATTGTAATGAGATACTGCTAAACCGATAATTTAAATGACCGGTAATTAAAATACTAACAAATTTTTCATAATTTTTGAAATATTAAATATTTTTGTATAATCAAAGTTTAAATAAATATGAAGAATTTAAATTAATATATTATAATTTAAACAATTAAATTAATAAATCACAATTATTACGATTATAATTTGGCAATACAACAATTTTTTAAATATTAATGTAATACTTTAATATAGAAAATTTTTATTTTTACTAATATTTATATTTATATTTTTAATATAAAGATCAAAGGAGAAAATAAAAGCAAGCAAATGAGGAAGAGAGGATGTTATTAAATTAGGAGACAATATTCTACAGTCGATCATAACTAAAAACTTGACGAATTTAATAGGATTAAAGATTTTTTATGATGATTTTTTATGATTTCTTACACGACAATTAATATAAAAATGCGGAAGAAATTTACTAAAAATAAGTCCTCTTTCACTCGTCTCACTAAGATGCATCGTGTCGATATATTTTACAAATAATTTAAAATCCGGTTAAACCTGATTAAAATTAGAAATCATATTTCTACATTCTCCATGAATAAAAGAGAAAGTATAGCATGATAACTAATTATGGTGGAAAGTCATAACAATGAATGATATTCATTTCAAAGATACTTCGAGAGACGTAATAAACATTTTTCACTACGTATTACGAATTATATTGGTACTTTTCCATTTCAAAAAAACACTGATATATTCATATGTGATGATATCAGATTATTCGCAGTGATAATAGATTTTGTAGTTACAAAAATTTTATTTCACAGCGTTCTAAACATTTAATTAGATAATGATCCTTCGACCAATTGAATAAAAAAATAAGTACGTAAATAAATATTTGCAAACAGGGAAATAAAATCAACGAGGTAATTATTGACCAAGGAATTGTGAAGAGGATATTACTTTAAAAAATAGATGTATCTTTTGACACGTTCTGAAAAAAAGAAATTAATTGACCATGAAAATCGTTATCTGGCTGCCTGTACCAATAATTATATAATTTCTTGCATCATTTCCAAACTCATCTAGAAAACAACATGTAAATTCGAATATAGGAATTAGTGAACTGTATAAATGAAAAATTGCTCGACGATATTACCCCACAGTACGTTTATACCTCGGAGTATCGATTGCTTAGTTTCATATTTATTTATAAAAAATATAAAATGAATAGATAGTGCACTTAATTACACTCACACAATTGTTTAATTGTAGATTACTCGGAATATGGCCAAATACTTATGTTTATACGAAAACAGTCGCAGAGAATCTTATAAGAAAGCATGCTGACTCTATACCGATTGGAATATTTCGTCCAAGAATTGGTTTGTAGCAACACAATCCTTATAAAATAAAGTAATAAATAATGTATATTAATCGATGTATTATTTCTAGTCACATCCATGTACCGAGAACGTATCCGAGGATGGATCGTCAACATGATCGGACCAATAGGAATTACAACCGGTGTTTTAATGGTATTAATGCAAACTCATCATTGCGATGGATCGATAAATGTGGACTTCGTACCTGAATATTTGACCACCAATGGAATAATCGCTAGCGTATGGGAGATTGCAAATAATCGAAAGTAACGACAAATACTCGAAACAATATTTTTTGGATCAAATTAAATAATGATATTAGAAAATATTGAATTAATTCGTCTGTATGAATACATAATCTTTTTAGATCCAATAAAGATATTCCCATTTACAATTACGTATCAAAGGACAATCCATTCACTTACGGCAGATTTATAGAAATGATAGTTACGTATGGAGAATTGGTACCGTTCGAAAAGGCAATTTGGTGCCCCATCTTTGAAATAACAAAGTATCGGCCGATCTATCTTTTCTACGTATATTTTTTACATTTACTACCAGCTCTTACAGCCAGCTCTTCGATACAATCTTTTTGTACAGAGGTAAAAACCAAAGGTAAATTTCTCTTATCTTATTTTCTAGAGGGAGCGTATTAGAACGATAAAGAAGCGAAAAATTTCATCTCGAAATAATCCTTTTCGTTCAAGGTTACTCAGAATGTACAATAAAATTCATGTCAATAAAAGTCAGATCTGCTTCGTCATTTTTCTATAAACGAAAAAAAATTTACGAATAAAAAATGGAACGAATTGATGAGAAAGTTGACGCCCGAAGATCGTGAATTATTCTATCGTGATATGAAGGATCTCGTTTGGAATACTTATTTTGAAATATACTTCTCATGTATAAGAAAATATATCTTAAAGGATCCTATTGAAACACTTCCACAAGCTCGTATAAAATGGCGAAGGTATTTTTTTTATAGCATTTTTATTTTATTGTCCCTCTGTTATTGACAATCACTTTCAAAAAATATTGATCTTTCAAATTTTGTTTTATTTGATGCATCAAGCATTGAAACTACTTATCGTCTGTGTCCTATTTATCATTACATGGGCTGTGATTTCTAGACTATTTGTAACGTTTGAATCTCCGTAAAAGAAGTAAAGATAAGCAAAAGAATGAAGGATAAAAATAATCATAATTTAGACTATCGCCTATGTACGAATCAATAATTTCTTGAATGAAAATAAATCAAAATTAAACTGTTTTTATTCGTGAATTCTCGGACAGATGTTAGGGTTAGAACTATCTCCTTATATACTACGCATTTATTGCATATCATATATATTTTTTTATATTTAATTTTTATTATAGCCAAATATTTAGCTACAAGTTTCATTCCTAAACTTCACTGAAACCATGTATCACTTTTTCTGCATTTTCTCTTTCTTAGTAAAAATTAAAGTAAAATGAATAAGACAATAATTCAAAATTCGTTCAATAAATACGTATTTCGGAATCATAACTGGTGAGATTTGTTACCGAAATACTTATTAATTCCGTATCATTTTTACTAGTAAATTCATTATTTTGGACTTTTTTGTGAAATGTATTCGCCATACTGATCTCAAATCCTAAAAATTTAACCGAAACGTTGAAAATTAATTTCTAAATGTAAAGTTTTGGATCGTTATGAGTTGCGTACATTGATAGCTTAAGCCTTCAATGATTGAGGAGAAAAGGCTACCTACTTCTACTAAACTTTATAGTTCAATGCTACAGTGAGTACATTCGATAACAACATCTGTATGTGACATGACCATAAGAAAAGAATGCTTGCTTTAAACGTTTATAATTGCGATGAAAGTGCGTAAATTTTAATTATGCAAAATGGGAAATACTTTTGCAATAAGTAAAATATATATAGATTTTAGTCCCATCCCATATTTCTCATATATTAACACATTTATCAACGATGTTTTTCGATCGAGATGCTTAGATGAATACCTCATATAATTTTAAAAAATCTATAGGTAAATATTGAAAGATACAAATATATAAATGTATATCAATATAATAAAAATATTGTCTCCTGATATCATGTTTATAATTATTTGTCGTTTAAAAAAGAGCTGATACGATCAAAAGAAAACGTTCTTATGCCAAATAAATAAAAGTATTTATAAATAAAAATAAATTGAAAAAAGTCGGAATGAATTTCTAACAGATATAAGGATAAATGGTGAAATGAATTGATTTAAAGAAAATTCATGATTTTTCTTTACCAAAGTAGAGAACAATTTTCTTTATCCTGGAATTCATATTGATATCTAATAGTTTCATTTTTATAAAAAGATGTATGAACAAGATTAATAGAAAAATAGAAACCAAATAAAAACAAAAATTATTCTAAAAAATGCGTGTTAAATAGGATTAGCGAAAAGTATATGTGCATCGACAGAAATAGATTAAAAAATTGTTAGAATAATATGAAATCAATGAATGCGACATAGTTGCATTGCATGTTGATACGAATATGTAAATGCAAAAATACAATAAGAATGAATGATGTAATATTTGAGTTTATCAAGAATTTAGAAAAACACGAACAGAAATGAGACGTTTTAAAATTAATAAACGTAAATAATAAGATGCTATGGAGAATTTGAAAAGATAGTTAATTGTAGCACTATACCTTATACTTAACAAGTATTTCATACAAAATCATTCTCCAAAAAATGTTTTATTCTTCACAAAATCTACTGTATTTCTGGTAATCTTTCTCCAGGCACGGTCTCGGTATCATTATCGAGCCTAGTATATCGTTCATCGATTCTATTTTTAAACATGGCTGATACCATAGTGTCGATAAATAAGGAAACTATATTTCGAGGGAACTTATGATTTGATAGTCCAGCAAAAACTGCAAACTCGAACGCCGCCATAATAAACTTACACATTACTACCGCAAGATGTCGCCTAAGTTATTGTTTTGATTCTTCCACTCTTCCACTAACCAAAATAAAAATTTTTTAACAAATATGTACGTTCAACTTAATATAAGTTCTAGCTGTAATAAAAACCATTATTATCAATTAATTAATAAAGTTGATGGTGAAATATTATTAAAATTAGAATCATTAAACGCAGTTTTGAAATATTATATTAAAATGAAGAACAGATCAACACGTCATAAATGGAAAGATACATTTCAGGTTATATTATGTTTTTAATAATATAATAATTTTTGAAAAAATTAAATGTTATTTAATAATATTCCCTATTGTTATAATTTAAATCGTTCTTTTGAAAAAGTACATGAGACAAGTATTTTCTTTGTGTAGCTTGCAGAAGGGAAGAAAACGACGAGGAAGTGGAAATGTATTTTTATGAAGCGACACAAAAATGGAATCTCATGAAATTAACATATGACTATCGCCGTTCTAAAATATAAATGAGAAAAATTATCAGAATTTTGTAATCGCTCGATAAGGAACAATATATCATCGAACGTTTCTAAAATATATATAGTTAAAAATTAAATGAGAGTAAGTATTACATTTTCTTTTTAGAAGAAATTGCAAGATAGTAAACATTAACTTACTCGCTTTAAAAAGTTAATGTCTGAAGATGTGATAGACTATACCGATTTTATTTCTTTCTAAAACAGACATTATAACTTTATTCCAATAAAAAAATGAATTCGTAAATCAAAATTTTATTTATACCAATTAAAAAGAAATATTCAATTTCAGCAACAAATTATCCAGGAAAACTCGGAATTATCTACAAATGACAATAAGCTTATCTCTAAAAACAGTGAAAAAGAAAACGAAAATGGTAATGACGATAATGAAAACGTGATGATGAAAATAATACTTTAGTTGAGCAAGACAAAGAAGAAAGAATGGAATGATATGAAATTAAATAATAAAAATATTTTATATATTTAGAAGATAAAGATGAAACGACAGATGCACATTTGTTTGTCATACGAAAACATATTGAATTTTCATAATATAGACCAAACTATAATTCGATAGATATGCAACATTGAAGAATTATGGTTATGCTAATCTGATTGATACTTTCAAGATTTTAACATGGATTGTAATCGAGTGATTACAAATAGATTTTCATTCATAAAATTCATAAAATTAGTGAATATATTTGTCAAAAATTTAATTTTCTTCGCATAGATCTCGAAATAAGTTAAAAGTCATATTGTTTACTCAGATAACGATTATTGATTATATAAAAAGAGTAATACTTTATCTCTTACTTGACTAATGAAATGATTAAAAAAAACTATAACTATAGAAATAATTGAAGCACTTAATTTGTTATCAGTGGTATCATTCTATTTAATATTAATTAGAATCTCTATTCTAAGTATACAAGTTTATTATGTTCTGAGAAATACAATATTCAAATGGGCCACTGATATTAATGGGTACTATATAAATGGGAAAATTAAAGAAAATACTTTTTAATGTAAAGTGTCTTTTTTTTTTAAAGGAAATGTCTACGATTATAGAATCATCTACTTTTGGATAAACTGACAAAGGAGATAATTTTTGTGACAAAGAAATAAAAGTAAGGAAGAAAATACGAAATTCTATAGTAAAAGACAACAAAACTGCAACAAGAGACATAACCTGCATGTAAAGTATCGTAATTAGTTCTACTACAAAGTATGTCATCCATATATACGGTTCTTTTTGTTTTTAATACGATTACCAACATTTATATTTCTTTATACATTTAATAAATTTATAATTGTAGTTTGTGGGAAAATTGAAATTAGCAGTAAAGGAAGAAACCTTAAATTATGAAACAAAGGAAGAAAGTGAACAAGGAGAAAAACGTAAGTAGTGAATAAGAAAGAGAATCTCTAAGAAAGAGTAAAAAAAATAGAGTAGTCTATAAGAAATGAGAATGTCAAAAGAAAGATCGACTTTGAAATTCTTTAATTAGGCGTTTTATGTATATATCCATGTAAAGAAAGTGTACTTCCTTGAGTTAGATTTGCCGCGCTTCTCATGTCCCATTCTTCGATTGACTTTTGTTATGTACAAGTCGAGCCGTTAAAATTTTGAAGAAAAACGGGCATTAGGAAACAGGACCTATGTACGAGAGACTACAGAGAAATTTTATAAAAATAATATATTAAATAAAATTTAAGTAGGGTAAATAATAAACGTAAATTGTCGTTTCTCTGTTCACAGGTAAGACTATAAATAGCAAATAACTGTTAATTAACGAATAAAAATTTATTCCTTTGTTCACAGAGAAACATGTTGTTGTTTATCATCTCATCCAAAATAATAAAACATATTATAAAACGACAATTTTTGGTTTATAATGGCAAGAAAACTACAATTCGTATTTAAATGTGTGGCATCACCGAGCGATAGAAAGACAAATGTGATTGCCATAACCTCTATCACATCTGAGGATAAAAAAAATATGTAGCCAGAAAATGAAAAATTTGCAAGTAACCACAGCGGACTAACAAAAACAGAAAGCTATAAAAGAATGAAAAAAAGGCTCAATCAAAGAGGCCAAGAAAAAAAAATATGGATTAAATGCACATAGGAAATGGAGAGTACGTATTTTGATGAAGATGACAGTATAATGTTTAATAATCTATATCTAGAAGAAATAGTGGAAACAAACACAATAGAACCCACACAGAAGAAAGAATATCAAATAGATTTAAAGTGTATATCAGAAAAATTCATGATTAAAAAATTTGTATGTAAACACTCAAATGCAGACAAGGGATGGAGTACAAGTATATATGCTATATCCTACAGATATAAAGAAGGTTCACTAATGGAATACGCTATGAGGAAAGAAAAACTATTACTGGATATGGACAACGATATCAGTATAAAGATTCTGATGATGCTTATAGCAGCAGGATTACCAGAATTCATAAGAGATAAAATAGATAGAGAAAATTGTCAAAGCTCAACAGAATTATTACAAGAAATAAAAAAATTTGAAAATTTAGTAAGTAAAAACAGTTTTACAAAAAAGAAAGAGGAAAGACAAGATAATAAAAAGAAATTTGAAGAAAAGATACCATGTAAGAATTGTGAAAAACTAAACAAAGGTATTAGATATCATTCAGAGGACTCCTGTTGGTTCAAGAAGGAAAATAAAAAGGAAATCAGAATTAATGGAAGAAATTCGATGATAGAAGTGGACCTATGCAAGGAACAAAAAAACGGATAACCACACCATTGATCAAAGTAAAGATAGTATTAGAAGAGAAGTTAGAGGTAAACGGAACATATGACCCAGGTTCCCATGTCTCTCTAATAAATTTGAGACTAGTCAAAATAAAAAAAAAGAGACAGAAGATAAAAATAAAATTTAAAGATGGTCAATGATGTGACATAAACAAAAGGTTTAGTAACCATTAAAGTAAAAATTTTGGTTAAAAAGGAATAAGTTGATGTATTTATTGTAGATAGAAATAACTTTGAAGATTTCATTATTGGGTTAGATATGATAAAGAAATTCAAACTAATTCATGATGAAAACTTACAGATATCTCAAAAGAAAGAAACATAAGCAAAAAAAAAAATATAAATACATTGGATAGAAATGAAGAAATAAAAGAAGTTGAAGTAAATTTTAACGAACATGTGAATGAAGACGAATTTAGATTGGATTTGAATCACTTGGACAATACAAAAAAAAGGATAAAAAAACTTATAGAAAAGTATAATTTCATATTCGCAAAAAATAAGTATGATGTAGGCACCGTTTCGGACTACGAAACTCGAATAGGCTTACTGGTTAATAAATATTGCAGTAAGAGGCCATATAGATGCACTATAGAGGATAAAAAGGAGATAGAAAATCAGGTGGTAAAACTATTAGAAAATAAATTAATTGAAGAATCTTATAGTCCGTTTGCAGCACCAATAACTCTAACATTCAAAAGAGATGAAAACAAACGATCACGATTGTGTATAGATTTCCGCAAATTGAACAAGATAGTTACACCACAAGCTTAACCATTCTTATTAATAGAAGATTTAATAAACTAAAAACAAGAAACTGTAAATACTTCACCTCATTAGATATAAATTCCGCTTTCCGATCAATTCCATTACATTTTGAAGGTAAATAGAAAACAGGATTCGTTACACAAGATGGACACTTCCAATGGACATGTCTACCGTTCGGACTAAAAACATCACCAGCTATTTTCTAAAGAATATTATCAAATATTTTAAGAAAGCACAAATTGAAAGACTTTTCAGATAATTACATAGACGACATCTTAATTTTTTCAGAATCATTCGAAGAACATATAGAACACATAGAAAGAGTAATGAAAGCAATAGTAAATGAAGGTTTCAGACTAAAATTTGAAAAATGTACATTTGCAACAGAATAAGTGAAATATCTCGGACATATTATAGTAAGACTAGTGAATAGAATACAATAAGACTAGTGAAAGATAATCTAATCTCAATACAAAATTTTCCCACACCAAAAACCCATAAAAATATTAGACAGTTTCTCGGAAAAATAAACTTCTATCATGAATATATACCGAAAAGCTCAATACTGCTAGACCCATTACATAAACTATTAAGAAAACATGAGAAGTTTATACCGTCTGAAGAGTGTGAGAAAACTTTTACAAATATAAAAAAATTATTATGTTCTCAACCAGTATTGCAAATATTCGATAAGAATTTACCTATGAGAATTTACACGGATGCATCACTAGAAGGCATTGCTGCTGTATTTAAGTAGATACAAAGTGATTGTAAGAAAAAGCCAGTAGCGTATTTTTCAAGAAAATTGAATGATTTGCAAAAAAGAAAAAAAAAGCAATTTACTTTGAATGCCTGGCAATCAAGGAAGCGGTAAAGTATTGGCAACATTGGTGGATCGGAAGAAAGTTCACGATATTTACAGATCATAAACCATTAGAAAGTATGAACAGAGAAGTTAGAACGGATGAAGAACTTGGCAAGTTAACGTACTATTTGTCACAATATGATTTTCAAATTAAATATATTCCGGGAAAGATAACGCTGAATCAGATAATCTAAGTAGAAATCCATTACTGGAATCATCCGAAAATACATAATAAATGCTAAAAATAGTTAATCTAATAAAAATAAAGGAGATAAAAACAGATCAAAAAGATTATTATAAACATCAAGAACGCTCAAAAATTTTTAACTACAGATATTGATCCAGTGAAAAAAGTAAAGAAATTCAAATACGTAGGAGAAATAAATCAAGAAAATGGTTTAGAAAAATCTGCAGTAGAAGAAAGGTTACGCAAGATGGAAATAGCGTATGGTATCACTAAGAATTTTTACAACAAAAAGTGTTTATCACAAAATCTTAAAATAAGTCACTACGCTACAGTAGTGAAACCGGAATGCTTATACGCGAGTGAATGCTTGGCACTAAATTATAGATTAGATAAACTAGAAGTAGTAGAAAGGAGAATCATGAGAAAAATTTTAAGTCCAATGAAAACAACAAAAGTATGGAAATTAATATCTAATGATGAAATATACAGAAACATAGAAGGCATAACAGAAACGATAAGAAAAAGAAGACTGCAATTTTTTGGCCATATTTACAGAATGGATGAGTCCAGACTAACAAAAAGGATACTCATGTACCTTTGGGAGAAAAAGGCAACAACTAGCTGGATTCAAGAGGTAAAGAGAGATCTAGAAAGAAATAATATAAGTGAGGAAGAAACTATAGACAGAGAGATTTTTAGAAAGAGGATATTAAACATGGAAGGATTCCAAGTAAGATTGAAGAAAAAACCTGGTGCGAAGTGGTCTGAGGACAGAAAGAAGTAGCATAGTGAAAAGATGAAGGAATATTGGAGGGAACGGAAAAGAAAACAGCTAAGTGTGAAGAATTGAAATTGGCACGTAGTCCCTAGCAGGTCTCATCAAAAGAAGAAAAAGATCAAAAAGAGAATAGAACACTGCAGAAAACTAAAACAAAATTAATAGAAAAAGATGGAGTGTTCTATAAAAAAAAAATTAGAAATAAAGAAAAGATAATTTTATTTGAAGAATTAAGTTTAAAATTAATTAACACTAGAACTAACAACCGATCAAAATGACCAATTATATTAATTGTTCACAAGATTTTGTCTTGAAATTTTATTTAATATTTTATAATAATGTTATGATTTTTACTAAATTCATGTATTTAATGTTTCTGTGTGATACTTTTTTATTTTCTTATTGGTAACTATTGTATACAGTTGAAATACTTACATTCAGTACAGTATTCAATCATTTATTTATTGGCAGCTGTTATATACGGTTGAAATACTTTCAATATTGTGGACAATTCTGCTGAATATATTTCTTTCAATTTATAGTTATCGTAGCTTGAAATGTAAGTAAATTGTGAATATTTTTATTATAATAAGGGAAAATATATTTAGAATATTTTTATCCAGAAACTTTACCTTAAAAATGCCGAGACGTCCGAAAATACCTAAAATTTTAGAGAACATAACAAATATAAGAGAAGACTTGATATCGACCAAGGTGATTTTGACCCTGAGATTGGACCAGCAGATATTTCAGAGAATCAATCAGAAGAAGAAGTGTGTTTCCTCAGACGGCAATAATGAAGAAGAGAACATCCTGAATGTACATAGATCAAGAAGACTTTTGAGATTGTCGTCATCTTCGGATCAGAATGACCGTCAACAAACTGAAATTGCTCCTGATGGAACTATCTGGACAAAAATAAAAGCTAGATCCACTCCAGGAAGGAGATCAATAAATAGCATTTTCAAAGCAGTAATTGGACCCACAGCATATACAAAACGAAGCATAATGAAGGCCACTGTAAGTAGTGCTTTTTTTTTTTTTTATAATTAATCGACGAATGATGGATTATATTAGAACATGCATAAAACTAGAAGCTTTTAGAGTTCTTGGTGAAAAATGGAATCTATCTTAAGAAAAATTTTCTTGCAATTTTATATGCACGTGATGCTTATAAAGCTAAGAATTTGAAATTATCTTATTTATGGTTTAAAAAGTGGGGACCAGCGTTTTTTTCGAAAACTATGAGTAGAAAGGAGTTTACGGATATTTTAAAATTTAACCACCTCGATAAGAGAAATGAACGGAGTGTACGATTGCAAACGGATAAATTTGCATTGATTTCAAATGTTTGATATTCATTCATTGAAAATAGCCAGAATTGTTACGTACCAGGAGAAAATATTACAGTCGACGAACAACTATTTCCAAACAAAGCGAGATGCCGATTCATGCAGTATATGCCGAACAAACCCGATAAGTTCGGAATAAAATTTTGCTTGGCATCTGATCTCCAAAGTAAATTTATAATAAATGGGTTCCCGTATTTGGGAAAGGACGAAACAAGACAGTCATCAATTTTTTTCAAGATCCATCTGAACTGGAAAACTCGAATGAGCTCTTGAAGAGCCCCGAGAGTTCTAATATACGAAAAACTTGCCAAATAGATTTTTGTAATGAAAATAAAACTATGACTATATGTGCTGGCTGTAAAAAACATGTTTGTGGTAAATGTACATTGAAAAAAATTTCTTTATGCAAAAATTGTGGTGATCCAAATAATAACTAAACCTAAATAAAAAACAAATAATAGTACTACCTTTTATGTAAATAGATGTATATATCATGTACTTGCAATATTTGAATGAAATATATTTTATTTTCTTTAAAACTTTTCTTTGAATTTTTATATTTTGCCAACTAAATATCAGGCTGGACAAAATGAACGGTTTGGTAGAAATAGGTATATAACAACTGTTAGTAGTTCTAGTGTTAAAGAAATACACTCTGAATGGTGTCATATAGGGATCAAACAAATGATAAACACGATATCTCCTTATTATACAGCTAAAGGTATAACTGCAAACATAAAAAAAATTTGCCAGAATTGTGAAATATGTATTAAGAACAAATTCAGAGGGCAAGGAAAATATGGACTGATGTCACAATTAGGACCAACAACAAAACCATTTAAAATAATGTCAATAGATACCATCGGAGACTTTGGAGGACAAAGATCGATAAAAAGATATCTCCACCTGCTGGTGGACCATTTTACAAGATACGCATTTATGGTAACATCAAAAACCCAGAGTGCAATGGATTTCATCAAGCTGATAAATAAAGTGCTAGAAACAGACAGAATATGACTAATACTCGCAGATCAATACCCGGGAATAAACTCAAGAGAATTTAAGGAATTCCTAATAATGACAATAAACTAATTTTTACGGCTATCAACATGCCCTTCTCCAACGGTCTGAACGAGAGATTGAATCAAACAAAATAAGATGCAGGATAAATGAGAAAGAAAAAAAAAAGCTTGGACAACGATCGCTAAAGAATGTTTGGATAAATATAATGAAACAGAGCATAGAGTAACCGGCTTTACACCTAAGTATTTGTTAGATGGCACAAATACCAGCATTTTACCCGAAGAAATAAAAAGAAGAAACAGTAAAGAAAATTGGATAAGAGATAAAGAACTAGCTCTAGAAAGAACAAAAAAATCACTCAAATATAACAAAAAGATATTTAACAAGAATAGAAAGAATCACCAGTTTAACACAGGAGATCTGGTGTATATAAAAGATGGCAATAGGTTGAATAGAAGGAAATTAGACGAATTGAGAATTGGTTCTTTCCAAATGGTAAAAAAATATCAGAATCAATATACAAAATAGAAACAGGAAAACGAAAACAAAAAACTGGATTCTTTCACATAACAAAATTACTTCCAATATCAGAAGATGGAGACGAGGACTAAAAATTGTAGGAATTTTATCCTGGGCGGGGTGGAGAGATGTAAAGAAAGTATACTTTCTTGATTTAGATTTGCCGCGCTTCTTATATCCCGTCCTTCGATTGACTTTTGTTATTTGCAAGTCGAGCCGTTAAGATTTTGAAGAAAAATGGGCATTAGAAAATAGGACCTATTTATGAGAGATTACAGAGAAATTTTATAAAGATAATATATTAAATAAAATTGTTCACAGGTAAGACTGTAAATAGCAAATAATTGTTAATTAACGAATAAAATTTATTCCTTTGTTCACAGAGAAACATAGTTTCGTTTATCACCTCATCCAAAATAATAAAACATATTATATGCATATAGCATTTCTTTTAAATTTAATGGTATAGCACTGTCGGTATTAAAAGCAATAATATTAGATCCATTAAAGACTTTAAAAAATTAATATACTTAGAACTATTAAATACAATTTTATATGATAATATTTCTGTTGTAGGCTTAGTAAACATCTTCAGTTATATGCACTTGCACCTCTGCTGACACGCTTTTCCAAATTACGATAAATTCATGATACTGATGTGATATTGCCACATCTTGATATATCTCATACTTTTCCTCTGTGTTTCCACTGTGCAATTGCTTCTTTTAAAGGAATAGTGTTTTATCGCTGAAGAAGAAGAAGAAGGAAAGGGCAGTCAGTTTTAATTCAGTAGTCAACAATCTTAATTAAAGAATGTCTGAAATGAATCTTTCCAGTCGGTTCATAACTCTATAAATCTATTAATATATACATATTTGTGTCATATTTAATCAATTTTTACTCTTTAAATTTTATTAATTGTTAACGATTGACCTACACTATTTCTTATAAATATGTAGGAAGAGAAATAAACTATGAGAATGTTTGGATTGTCAGAAAATAAGCGTAAATAATTTTTTATTACAAACCTACAGGTAATTTCTTTTATTTTATAGTATTTCATATTAATTACATTTGACTTGTATTTTTTTTGTGCATATATATCTCGATGTAAGTCATTTCAAAAGTATCTCAATGATTATTAATATATTACTTTATTTTCTCGTACACATGTTGATTAAGTTCTTTGAAAAATTTCTAATTTTGTGTCTGAATATACAAAATATATATAAATTATAAAGTCAATCATAAGTAATGAAATATATTAAAATTATGAATCATTCTGTATTAGATTAAAAATATATTATATGATTGTTCGAAAAAAATGTAAAGTTAGGTAGGAATTGAGAGTCACTGTTACGTTTCTCACAAGTGCTCAGATGGTCTGCTATTCCTATATAATACACTTCTAAGATTAATAGTAATGAAGTTTCTTCGTATGTTGCTTCGGAGCCACTAGCGGAGTTCGTCAGTAACTCTCAAATTACTCTAAGGAAAGTCCCCGGATCTTTCGTTAGAGAAGGAGAGTGGTCGTAACTTTTTTAGCTGTTATAATCCTTTCTTTGCCGTCTTTCTCGATTATAAAATAAGAAAGCCTTTGGCTGATCTTTTCGAGATTGGGCGAAAGTGTATTGGTCAAAGTAAAGTTTTTGATGTGTTCGAGACGCGGATTTCTATCCATCTTGTGTGGATGAATCTTTCGTATCTAACTGAACAGGGCTTCAGCGAGGAAAGTTCTTCTTTTGCAATTATTTCCTTCTCCTTTTCGTGTTTTTTTATTTTTATAAATGGATTCTTAAATGTATTAAATAAAAACTGTTTAATTAATTTAATAAATTAACTTAATGATTGTTAGCTCGATGTTGAATAGAAAATATTTTGTAATACCTAACTGCAATAGATATTATTTAAAATTTCTGAGATAGAATATTTTATTAAAAATGACAGATAATTTGCACATATTTTAATTTGTATTTAAGTTAATTAATTTATTTAATTTTACTGTCAAATTTGATTTCATATAAAAATGAAACTTTATATTTCAATTAATTGATATAAATGTAATTTGTATAAAATCTTAATAATACTATATATTTTGACTCGAATTAGTTTTATAAAAATGAAATTTAACTTAATTTAATATTAATTAAATATCAAAAATAGCATACATAAATTAAAATTTTTTTAATTTCATCTTATTGTGGATTATCAGTTACTATACCGATTCCCCTAACAAAAAAGAAAAATCCAAATCTTTTAAATTTAATAATTTATCATTTAATGTCTTATTATAATAGAGTATATAATCTAAATTTCAATATTGTATAGGGAGAAGCTTACTTTCAGGGGCAATGTGTAATATTTATACTGGGTTTATGTAGAAAAATATCTCAATATTATTTGTATTAATATTATTACAATATAGGAATCATAACCTATATTTAAAAAACAAGAAATATTTCGTATGCGAAGTAACAATTAAGATTTTGTGTCGATAAAATTACGAACTTTTATATACATTAATTAAATATATAAAAGGGTTAAACTTTGAAATTCTTCGTATTTATTATTTTCAAACCTACGTGATTATACTGAACTTGACAAATGGAATCTTCATAAAAGTCAAGAAATTGCTGAACATTCTATTAATTATAAATAACACTCTAAGAAGTTACTAAAGAATTGTTAATGTTGTCGAATGGCAATAATCATTTAACATTAATACTAAACGGTTTGCAAAATTATCACATACGCAGTTGTAACATTTCAGTTTTACATATTAAAAAAGCTTAATAATTGATCGTCTGAAACAATTTATTATTTGTGTTTTCAAACATAATTAACATAAATTTCAATCTAATCGTTTCATAGTGTTGCAATTCATTCAGAAAAAAATATAAAATCATAACAAATAATATTGAATAACTGGAATAATAAAAATACATATATCATAAAATTTATTCATTTATAAAAATAACAAGCTGCAATAATATATTTACATCAAGATAAGAAAATTAAAAAAGAAAAAAAAAAGTTGTATTGCCATTTGATTGAAAAAAATCTTTCTTTTGCAATGACTAAACTCAGTTTTCTTTCTTTTTGTTAATTTTTAATTGGAATGTTAGCAAACTCTAGAAAAATTCTGTTAAAATCTTTATTGAATCTTCTATGGAACATTTGATTTTTCTGAATTTTAATATCGTAGATTTCTTATTTTAGTGATTTTAATAGTGACATTCTTACAGGTTAAGAATCCGTTTAAAATTTTTGTTGTGTATCTACCTAAGATTTATAATTTTAACTACCCTCAATAAGTAATAATAAGTTTTACAAAAATGTCTACTACTTCAAAATACATAGAAATAGGCATAAATATTCTAAAAGCAACAAATTATTTAATAAATAACGAAATATCAAGTCAAAACAAAACAAATGTCCGAACTGTTCGAAAAAATAATTCCTCCAGATTGTATCGTGAACCTCTTCAACGCCACGTGTTGATTATTTTACATCTCTTATGCATATGCGGAACGTTACAAGGGTTTGTGAACCATAGCGCATGTTGTATTTAATTATAGGTCAATTTTTTTATTATATTTTGCGTTATGGTTACCCAAAGAAAAGATCGAAATGTTCGCCGTATTTGTTTGTATGTTAATAAATTAAAAAAAATGTATTATTAAATTAACTAAATTGTTATATAATATTAAAATATATTAATATATCAAAAAGTATATGAAAATGTTCTCCCTCTTCCCCAATTACTTGGCGTGGCCCTAAATGCCCATTTAACCCATTTCTTTTTGTTTTCACAACAGAAATATGTTGTTCGTATGAAGCTCGCGTTTCTACTAATAATAAGCAGTAAAATCAGGTAGACAGGTAAATAAATTAGATAACATTGACCTCTTTCCCTTTGCGGTAGGACATGATCGTGTAGCATACCGTCCTCTCTACACGCACATTTTCATTATTTTAATCGATTTACAATTATGAAAATCATAAAGAATTTACAAGCAAGTAATTTGTTAGTTTTAGTTTTATTTTTTCTTAAAATCATCCTATAAAAAAAATTATATTCTTTCGAAAATAATTTATGCTTTTACAGTAAAGCTTCTTCAAAAATTCGAAATAGCAAAATCCTTGCTTAAACTTTCATATTTAAAATGAGGCATTGCTCATCAAAATTGTTTAAAAAATTTTGAGCGTAAATATTGTTTTTAACGTTTAAAATAAATATTTACTTTCAACGAGAAAAAGTTTCATACAATGGCACTTCTCAAAATTTTCAGCAAAAGAGAAGAAACTTGTACTACCGATTTCAATATAGATGATTACCTGCTTGTTCGTGTGTGTAAATTGATGATGCTTAGATATTCGAATCCACTTCAAACGCAAAGAAATGATTTTCACGATGAAATTACTATAACTCATTCGGATACTTTAATGGTGCTTTCGATAGATGATTTTATGGCAAAAATAATGAAATAGGTGTTCAGCCGTTCATTCAAATGAATTTCAGTTTCTAAGATATCGTTGAATTTTAGAAAAAATTTATACTTTCTTTTGTACTTTATATTTTAGAGCCTTAAATTTTATAAGCAATATGAGACATCAATTTTATAAGCACATTGACAAGCATTTAGATTCGTCTAGAAACTGAACGATATTTCGTCAGTTATTTTTCTATTGTATAGATTTAAGCAAATGTAATTGACTAATTTATTCTTTTTTCTACTTATTTGATAGTTTAGTAAGACGTTACTATTTAATCTCTTATGATTGATGTGCGTTTCTTGATGATTAGTTTTACATAGGACACAACAATGATACAATTTATTTAATAACAGAGTTATATAAAATATATATTTAAATTTGTCAATCATTTTACCAAAAATAATAATTAGTAAATATATATATTTTTATATAAATCAAAAAACGAGTTCATTTCTATATTATCTATGAGTTAAGATCAATACTATTTTTGTTATGGTTTCTCGTATAGTAATATTCAATTTATATTATTACTGTTACTATTATTATTAATATAATAATAATATAATAATAAGAACAATGATAAGTAGAAGGAAGAACAGAATTACAAAGCATGAATTCATAACTTACTAACACTAATTATTATAATCGGATATGAGTCTAATTATTATTCGATTAGTAAAGACGTGAAAAATGTATAACTTAGAAAAGTTTATACACCCATATGAGAGACATGGTTATACTTCATATAAGGTCCATACTTATGTTGAAATCACAGCGAAAGGTGATAGGAGATTACTCAACATTAAATCAATATCGCTTGACATATATATGTACGAAAAAAATGAATTAAAAATACATTAAGTAATATACTGTTTATACTTCTATGAATTCATTTTATCGGTGTATATATTTAGATAATTACGTTATGTTTTTCACTCCATCAGAGCATGTGACGTAAAGAATTGAGCCGATAATGAGACAGAACAAAAGCCATGCTCCCGCACACGTGCCACACACACACACACACACACACTTCTTTCCAGTGGAACATAGCCTCAGGAAATTCATAAATAGACCGATATGTCATTTATACATGGCAGTCTCGTTAACATTTGACGTACAAAGCAGAAATTAAAATTATCACATAAATAGTATACAAGGTGTCCCACACAACTGGAAGGGATTAACCTTTTTTACAATTTAAACAATTGACAATAGAAAAAAATATTATAAATTAATTAGTATTAAATGTAGTTAAATGGTATTAAATGGTGCATAATATGCAAATAATTTTATGTAATTATATGGATCGGATCGTCAGAAAAATCCAACTGTATTTTTTATTTTAATGAAAACTTATATTTTTGACTGGAACAATTGATGTAATTTTTTATGCTCTACATAAAAATATTAACATACTTATGTCCTAAACTAATACGTTAGAAAATTATCTGAATTAAAAGCTTTTTGAATTATTTTGGTCTATCGCTGAGTGTTAATGAACGGGTAATATCATGGGTAATGAATACTTATTAATGAAAATCTTACATTAATATGAGTGATTAATATT